TCAAGTCCAGTTGTATCAAGTCCAGTTGTATCAAGTCCAGTTGTATCAAGTGTACTATTGATAGTACTATCAAACGTTACATTCGATCTGTCCAATGGAATCTGCAATGAATTAATGGACATATAAGTAAAAGTTTTATTATAACGACGATGGTTAAATGTTTACTAGTTCTGTAATTACCTCATATGCATTCGGTGCTGGGTCATCGCCTAGAAAAATAATTATAATGTTAATGTCATAAATGTTGATAATTTAATCAATAAAAAATATGCACCTTTTAACGCTTGTTCAATTTGATCAATAGCCGCTTTAAAATCCTGTTTTTTCATCGAACTACTTGTGGCAAATTTTTGTTTTGTTTTTGAATACAATGTGATATCTTTCCCTTGAACATTGGCGCTGGTGAGAGAAATTCAAAGTCTTTCATTATAATTTCAGATTGAGAATTGACTAACGTAACATTTTCGCTAAATAAATGGCATGTGAGAGATTATCGCATGGAATTCTTTGGCTTAAATGGTTCCATCGGCAGACTCTCAAATTTTATTTAGGATCATGAATTGCAATGAAACTCAGTGCTCAATAATTTCATGCAGTCTCTTCAGAAGAGACAGGATGAGATGATCCAATGAATGTTTGGAGTGCTTCCTTTTGTAAAGAAATATAGCGGTACTTACGTCTCTCCGGTTCCGTAAAAATATACACTGTACTTCTTGGATTTGGTAATATCGACAATCTGAAAAGGATACAACCATTGATTAGACATTTATATCCATGTGGACCTGCGAATATTTTTTTCATTTAAGATTTCTATGAAAATGTCTGGCTTATCAATTTGAAAACAAGAAAATACAAATATGCATAACTCATTTTATTTGAATGGTTGATTCATCAACTTTTGAAGCTATATTGGATGCTATCAATTTTTTTTTCATCAGAATTTACTTTCTAAATTGAGCTTCATACATATGACCGCCTGAAAGAATATTTTCCAAAATTCTCATAGTTTTCCAAAACAAAGATTTTCTGAAATGATGAACTCTGAGAAAGTTATATTGAATCTGTGACATTCCAACCAATTAAAAATTATAAAAAAAATCCAACATTTTTTTCGAGACGACACGAAATGAGTTAAGCATTTTTTTTGCTCATATGTCAACAAAAATCATTATATCGAAGTAAATTTGTTTCAATTACATGAACTAAACAATTGTGGTGTGTGTAAGTATATATATATATATATAAATGTGTGTGTGTGTGTGTGTGTGTGTGTGTGTGTGTGTGTGTGTGTGTGACAAAAATGAAGTCAACGTAGAAGACTAAACAAATGTGTTTAATCAGTGTAAAAGATACAGATCTCTAAATGTAACGGCCATAGAAAAAATGATAATAATTGCAACAACAATATAAAAAATGGCAAAGATACATCTTTGAGCGGAAAAAAACTATGAAACTCACCTTTGCTGGCCAAGCCGGGTATCCCTTTACTTTGGCAAATACCAAATCACCAACGTTGAATGAGTCCTTTTTGCCCATTTTATTGGTTTTTTCAATGTTTTTTTTTTTTTATCAATCCACCGACAACGCACAAAATGTCTAACCAACAAAAATGTTGTTTAGTATTACGACCAAAAGAAACGCACCAAAAAAAAACTGTTGTTATACCGAATGGTGTGATTTGTTAAGTTTTTATTTCATTTGGGAAACGATGTGAAGAGAGTAAAAAAAACACTTTGCCAAATACACTGACGAACAAAATGCATAAATTGTGTGCGATGAGTATACGAGGAAAAAAGCGGCACGATCTTCATTCGTTTTATGTGTATATATATATGTGTGTGGTTAGAATTCCAGATGTCAGCTCTAGCATATGACACAATCATTCGAATAAATTTCGATGCATAACAATCTGGTCCGATTAAGTTTTCGAAAAAAAATCTATTCAAAATGTTTCACCGTGTAAAATGTGCATATTCCGATTTTTAATGCAGAAAATATACAATTATATTCATGTTCTTAATGTTTTCAAATACATTGAAAGTGTGTCATATAAGAAAAACACGCTATCACACAAATGCATTCAATAACAAATAATATATGAATTTGAGTTTCATCGATGTGTATATGTTAGTGTGTTTGCGTGTAATGTGACATTCTTGTTGGTCCGAAGTTCGAAACAAATCATGCTTTGACAGCAAACATCGCAGTCACATATACTTGCGTTCAAACATTTTGCTTTGCATTTTGGATTACATATTATTTTAATGTGTTTTTCTTGATATGATTTATATGGTGAAATGCAATTTTTAAATGTCGATAAAAGCGCATCCAATCATAGATTGAACGCATTCATTTTTCAATATCGGTTCACATTTTGACAGTTTATATGACACTTTTTGCGTTCGAAAGTGGTCCGATATCGAAATTAACGCGCGTATATAACCATACGAACGTACAACAGAAAATCAGAAAATCGTATCGAGCAAAAATCGTAGATCCACGCTAACTGAGCAAGGTACATTAATATTGATATTGTTATTTTTATTTGTATATTCCGATAATTTTCTTTGTGTTTTTTTGCTAAAAAAAAGTTTGATAATCATCCAAGAATATTTGTTTACACTTTAATTTTATAAAAAAATCGAAATATTTTTTTAATATAAAAAATAGATATATGTTGTTAAGCACATTTTTCAAATTGACATATATACTTATTTTGAAATATTTTTTTTCCTTTTGTTTTCAGGTTGATTGTTAAGTAGGCTGCGTTGTAAATTTAAAAAAAAATCCAAAGATGTCTGGTCGTGAAGGCGGTAAGAAGATTTCTAATTTCTTTATGGACATTCTTAACGTTTTTTCTTTGTTTATTCCCTCCAACTGGGATCTCCTATAAATTCTCCTATATGTTTTTTACAAAATATTTATATAATTGAATTTATTTTGTTGTGGTCACTTTAGGTAAGAAGAAGCCATTGAAGGCACCGAAGAAAGAGTCCAAAGATCTCACCGATGAGGACAAAGAATTTAAGGCAAAATTACAAGCTGAGAAAAAAGCAATGGATGCATTGAAACAAAAAGCATCACAAAAAGGTCCATTGACTGGTGGTGGCATCAAAAAATCTGGCAAAAAATGAGAACAAAGAACATCAACTATAACACTTACACCATATAAATTAAAATTCAATCCGGACCAACATTTCACACATAAATTCCGACTAAATTCACATTTGTTTTATAATCCGATGCTGTAAATCAAATGATGTACACGAACACAATTTTGATTTTAAAAACACTGCATTTATTGAAAACGGAATTTTTCAAAAAATAAAAAGTACAATTTGTAAAATAAGAAAAGAATTTTTCTGAATCCTGATTTTGGCATGTGTTTTAGCTACTTTTTCGATTTATCCGAACATTTTTTCAACTGAATGCGTAAACTTTCCGGTGAATGAAATTTATTGTTGACGTAGATTTGATTGCGGGGTGGCGAATCGCTTATCGTTGATTTCGTTTCGTCGTACATTTTGTGGTCAGCGTGCGTGTCTTGAATCGATGCATTCTTGTCATCATAGTCTTCGATTTCTTCCAGCAAATCAAAATCGTCAAAAATATCACTTGAACTGCTTCTATAAGTCAGATCGCTATCTCCAATCATACTGCTGCCTTCACTTGAGAAACTATCGGGTTCATTACTTGATTCATTGGATTCATATACGATCTCATTCAAATTTGTGGATGCGCGTCGTTGAATGCTACGATACATGAATGGCTCATCAGGACCAACGCCGATATCACGGGTGTGAGGTTTACATTGAATACCAAAATCTTTGAATACAACTTCATCGGTGCCAACACCGATATCTCGAGTTTGAGGTGAACACTGAACGCCAACTGAGATCGGTTTTACTTCAATCGGCACATCAATTTTTTCATTCGATTCCGTTTCGAACAAATCGGGTGATCCCACAGCATCATTTTTAATCATTTCATTGTACATTGTATCTGGTGTGTCCGTACTTTGTTTTTGAGAATATTGTAGAGTTAAGTACGTTGATTGCAGTGAATCTTCAAAGATGCTCGGTGAACGATCTGGTCTTCTTATTGTTTTTGCTTTTTGTGTATTTGCTGGTGTTTTCTGTGTTTTTTCTGGTGATGGTTTTGGATTGGCCCTTGTACTTTGAGCTCGGCCAGTTTTTGCAACAGTGGCAGCGCGTGTTGTTGCTCTTACTTTGCGTGCCATCTTTTCGTTCTGGTTTAGTTTGACAATGTCACATTGTTATTGCTGTAAATGACAATTTGACCAAATGGTTTCTATGGTGTTCCCATTCAAAGTTCACCGTTATTCAGTTCAAGCGCACATCTGTGTCGGTCACTGCATCAACGCAGCAAGTGTGAGTATCCTGTTTATGTGCTGTGAAGTGCAACAATCACTTGTCAAAGTGATAATGTCATGATAAAAACGAGAATGCTTAGAATTTGTGTTTTTTTATTTGTATATTTTGTTTAAAATAAATAAATAGCCTGATTTATGGACTACGTAATACAATTATGATAGTTATTTGTGAAACATTACACCAATAATTTTGTTTCTTGTTCATTTATAGATTAATTACCATTTAACTAAAAACGACTTAATCTAAAAAAAAATCAATTGAATCATTCGAATAATTCACTCTGTCAAAGTACACATGGCAAAACGTTAAAGTAATCAGGGTAAAACGGCAATTTTACCATCTATACACAGATTCATATTCGAATACTACTGTTATAAAAACACTTCTAATGCTGAAGTGTAAAAATGTGTTTGCAGTCGCTCCAAAGTATTACACTTGATGCATTTTACTTTGAATTTTGCCGTGTGTATTTTTTGAGAGAATTTCGTCGATCAACTCATCTTTTGAATTGTTATAATTAATATATATGCTAAAATGTTTGCATCAGTTTTGGTTTAAGTTTTGTAGCTTGTTTTCTCCCTACATTCTATCGTCATTTTTTTTCTATCGCACAGTTCAATGTTCTCCATTCATTTAATTTTATTTCTATTTGATTTTTGATCAATTCGTTCGAATGATTCGGAATTTAGGTGAATGCCGCAATCATATTATACAGTTGCATAAGCACTTGAATATGAGCTGGTAAACATGAAATTCGATCGTTTGTGTTTGGATCGATGGCGAGCCACGATAAGAAATTGTAACTCTCCAGAATATATCTCATTGTGTCGGCCGTATATGGTGAATCAAGCGGATGAATGCCGGCATGCGAAAATCTTTGATTAATATATTCATTTGAATTTTGATGGATCAACGGGCTGTGAATGTGCAATGAACTTTTCAAAAACACCGGATTCACATTCTCCAATTGTGGACAATTCACCCAGAACCATGGTGGCATTCGATTGATTGGAGCCGTTGAAACCATAAATCCAATTGCTAAGGGTTGTGCCATCATTTGACCAAACTGAAAATTGAAAAAAAAAACACAAACATTCGATAAATGAGTCGTTTCATTAAAAAAAAAAACGAACGAACAATAAAAGTACAAAGTATTTAGACTAATCTAATGAATGCAATTACGTTTATACTCACTTCATCGGATGTATTATGCAATTGCATTTGCATATTGCCAGTATCACAGTCTGATTCGAGTTTAACTTGATGTCCAAGGCCGCTCATATTTACCTACAGTGACCAGAAAAATGATATAATTTTATAGAAATTTTGTAAGAAAATATTTGAAAAATATAGATGATCTCAAAACGACCACAAATTTGGAATCGCTTGAACAAGCATCATTGCTTAAATTTGAGATTTGATTGCTTCAAAACAATTTTTATTTGAATGTTGTTTAAAAAAATATAGGAGATTTTCATGAAAGTGATATAATTTTTATTTACCGATAGCATTAAATTGGCATTTGGTTTTTGATCGTGGTCTTGTTTCGATACTTGAGCCATTTCCACTTTTTGATTCAACAACTGATGGTCGTCGTTTGGATTGACATTTTCTAATTTAACATCGAGCGTTGGATCATCTTGTGGATTATCCGTTGGCAGTTGAATTTCATCTGTGAAATGGTCTAAAGATTTTTTTAAATTTAAAACACGTTCGCTCAATAAAATCATTTGATTTAACTTACTTTCCCAGTCATTGGATAGGAAATCTTCAATGTTATTCATATTTACATCGTCCATTCCATCCATGTTCAAGTCAATTCCCTCGATTCCATCCATGCTATCGATGCCATTCAAATTATCAATTCCATTCATACTGTCGATGCCATTTAATCTGTGTAAAAATGCACCTCTAGTTGAATTCGAAAACAATGTAAAAACAATCAAACATACCCGCTTAAACCGTTTATATTATTGACTCCGGCCAAATTATTGATGTTGTTCATGTTGTTAAGTGCATTCAAAGCATTCATTCCTGCATTGTTCATGTTCATATTCATGCCGGAGTTCATATTCATGCCGTTAATGTTGTTCAATCCGCCGATGCCATTGATGTTATTTATTGAATTCATGCCATTCAATGAGCCCATATTATTGATCGAGGCCATATTATTTATGCCACCTAATGGAGCGCTATTTCCTAAGCTAACAAACAACTCTTCTTCGCTGAAATCTGTGATGTGATGTTCTGGGTACGTTTGAACAGCCTATTTGGTTAGAAAGAAAATGTCAAAATTTGAATAAAAGTTCATTGTTCATTGCAAATATTTTCTATCTTACTTGTGCCGCTGCATTGATTGGCAGTACTAAGATGTGTGTACATGAAAGATCGCTCGGCGTTGACAATGTAGATTGCATAGCAATTTGACTGAAACGTTCATCGGGTGTAAATTGATCGGATAGTATGCGGAAACAGGTGTCTGGCTCAAGTGTAAGTAAACATGCGCTTACAATACTTGGGCAACTATGCAAATACATCATTGAACATTGATCGCATACATCTTTCAATTGTTTTGAAATCTTAACAAGACTTGATTTACATAGCAGCCAACTCCACGCCTTCAATTCACCATGTCCAATTCTACCAACACGACCGATGACAATGCGCCATTGTTGTGATGTTTGTGAAATGATGCCAATTATGAAATCCATCAGTTTTTGTAAACTTTGACGACGAATTGAATCGCCTCGATTCTTTGGATTTTGTTCGGAATTTACAACTTCAATGTTTATTGTTATTGTTTCGAGCAGTTCGCCACGTTCATCGGTTGCCACCGCAAGCAACCATTTTTGATCTTCTGACAAACAATAATTACAATATAACACAGACGATGGTGTATCAACTGTACTTGCACCAAACACTTCACTACTTTCAATTGTTTCATCGCGTCCCGACAATATGTACGGTGGTGCATACAATTTGTATGGAGTGCGATTATTTTGATCTTTATTTTGAATGACCTTTTTCAAATTGGCTGCGGTTCCAAAGCCGGTTAGAACTTTAGCAGTTAAGTCATGTGTTAAATTGCGGCGACACTGCGAGAAAATGCTCAATGCCAAACAACGCATTTGATCGGCAGCCCGAAGTAAATCACAGTTTTGGCCCATTTCCAAAATGCTTTCCATCGAAAGGATTTGTAATTTAATGTTATTACGAATGGAATCTGGTACGGCATTTAGAATTTTTGAGTAGCTTCGCAGAAGTGCAATACATGAAATACGCTGCAAATCTTCCGATTCATGACCAAATGATAATGGATTCAATACATAAATTATGATGCACGGTGGTATTGCATCGTTTGCTTCATTCTGATTTGTCAATACAATTGGTTCGTTTGATGAAGCCGGCTGTGGAGTTTGTGCATTACTGTACGATGCATTTGAATCGCATTCATTTTCAAATGATGAATTTTGCTCTTTATTTTCGGCATTGCTGTATGAAAATTCCGGTGTATCTGGCTGAAACATTGGGCTTGACATCGATTTATCCTTGTACACATCTTTAATGTTAAAACCTTCCGGTTCTGGATCCAAAATACTTTTATCCGACGAAATATTTGTGAGATACGGCACAAGATGTTGTTGACACGTGTATATGTACGATTTGATGATTTCAATTGTTTTATTATCCTCAAATAATGCATATAAATTTTCGAATTCATCGCTTATGATATCGGTTGGGCTTTTGCTTGATCTCAAAATACCATCACAGCCTTTAATTGGGCAATGTCTTCCTAATTTGCACATTTCGTACATGGTGCTCAGCTCTTTGAAAAATTGCTTTGCTTCATCGACCACATAATCGTTGTCTGGTGTAACAACGATATAGGCCACATCACGTGTGTATGAATATGGTTCGAGCATCAATTGATCCCAGTATTGAATTGCAAATGGTGAAACCGACAACCATTCCTTTTCATGTCCGACGATTATTGATGGGATTGGTTGTGGTTCGCATTGTCCCGATTGTGTTGATGCCAAACGATGGAATTGACGCCATGTTAATGGACCCTGAATTGCATATGGTGCTTCCCACATTCGTGTCATGTATTTTTTATTAAACGATCCTTGTAGCACTGGCATCAGCATTTGCATGAATTTCAGCACATCTTTGTTGTTCGATGGTACGCTTGCTTTTATGTACGGCCATTTATGTACATTGGTGTACGAATCATTCGATTTGACGAGCGCATTATTTTTACGTGATTTTGGTTGACTTTCCAATTTACTGTTGTCCAATGCCAATCGAATAATGTCCTGTGCATCACAGTATTCAACCACATTGATGAATGCATCTTCGAAACTATAATAGCTTGCATTATTCACAAAACGAATTGAACGTTGCACAGAATTTGTGGCATTTTGCACACAAGTACATTGCTCTTGAATGTAATCCATAATTACTTGTGAGATCGAACCACACATTTTTTCCATACCAAATAGAAATTCGTCACTACCTGCCGCACTTTTTATCAGCAATGATCTCTTTTCGCGTGCTTTTTGCTCTTGTGGATCTTCAGCAATTCCAGTTATTTCATTTTCATCATCATAAAATAAGCCCGATTTATGTGACAGTCTACGATTAACTATTGCACTATAGCCACATGTACAATGAATTGGATCGGTGTCTAAATAGCCCAATAGATGAGAATTTTTAACACGCATATTGCGATCATTTTCCGTTTCAAATTGACCAATTGGATTTAAAGTTAATGAAATATCAGGAACATATTCCGAATAACTATGACCATTCAATGCTAAATAACGACCTGAATCCAAACCACGAATATTACCAAATGTTCCATCACAAGATGTATGGCATACACACAACGAACAACTATTGAAATTATGATCACGGAATACATTCAACGATGTATCGTACAAAAGCAAATTCAATATCAATGCATTCGTCTCTGGTAAACGTTGCACCGGTTGAGCTATATTTTCTAAGTAGGTTTCTGAAATAAACAATTTTTGATTACATTGTTAATATCAAGGTATCAATACAAAATTTAAATATAATTTACACAGAAAGTGTGCCCGAAATATAATAACGTACAATTTAATGTGTGATGAACATGAAATGCTTACCGTTTTTGTTGTAATAAGATGATAAGGACATGGCTGGACTTGAAGCTGTGCTACCAATTTGAAGTGATGGCAAAATAGAAGTGCTACATGGTCCAGTGGCGCATTCATCGCACGATGAATTATCCGAATCATCTAAATCATTGCCATCCGAATCGTCTGAGTCTGAATCGCTTGAACTGTAATTCATTTGTTGTCCACTCTCTAGAATGGTTGTCGCATTATTTTCAAATGGAAATGATTCGGTGGTGGTGTCAAATGGTGCAACTTGCAAGCTATTTGCCATCTCGATGTTTCGCTGATATTTATGAAATTTACGAATGTGTACTTCTTCATTATACACTTCGCTATCATAGTCCAGATTGATATGAACCTTGACCACTTTAACTGGTTTTTCATTATCAAACTCCTCGACGCTACTGCTGCTTTTATCTAAATTGGTACTGTTCGTTCTTTGAGCGCCGGCATCTCCTCGCTGTAAAACATTTTCATTGGATCCGCTCACTTCAGATTTTATATTAGATTTGTGATACAGATCGGATTTCATGGAGTCAAAATTATGACCAGAATCATTGCTGTTGTCATCACTATTTCCATTATTATCATACATCGAACATTCTTCAGCCTGGCCACTTTTTCGTGATTTTTGGCCTTTATCACTTTTCTTTTTGCCCGATTTCTTCTTGTCTGTATCACTGTCCGTATCACTTTCGCTTTCGTTTCGAATTTCTGTGTCACTTGTTGGTTCCTCTTTGATAGTCATATGTCGACTTTCATACTTATTCTGGCCACCTTTGAAATCAACTTCTTTTTTAATCAGATAATCGAAACCGCTTATTGAACGCTTTGATTTACTACCATCCGTTTTAGTTATTATTGGTCCTGCACCAAATGTTCGATGCTTATTTTTGTTCTTACTTTTACTGAAACCAATGCCAACTTTATTATTCAAAGTGGCGCCGAATTTATTCTTTTTGTTCAGTGATTTTCCCGAGCCATTTGATGACTCCCAAGATGGTCGATAAATGAAATTGTGCTGCAAATAGGCTTGAGTTGGTGCTATATTTGTAAGTGGTGCATATTTTGATGAAATAAGCTGCTTTGATGTGGTTGATGTTGATGATGATGATAAGTTGAACGTCCAATCCTGAATTTCCGTGATATATTCGTTATTATTTTTGGTTAACTTTGTGATACTTTTCAAAGTTGAACGGAATGAAAGGGGACCTACCTGCATTGATCCTTCGTTTGAATTATCAGAGCAATCTGGATCGACCATGCCACCAAGATCGGAAAGAAGTGACAGATTGCGTGCACCTCCAAAATAAATATCGGAGAAATTTGTTGGGCTGCATAAAATATCAGGGCTATTCAAATCGTAGTCAGACAAGTTTGAATTCTATTTTGAAAAAAAAAAAAAACAAGAAGAAGTTAGAATGTCGTTTGTGTTGCGAAAATTCATTAAATTTACTAACCGAACCGCTGTCATTGTAATAGTCTTGATCAACGTCTTCGTCGGATGTATGAAGACCGTCAGAAACTGATTTGCTTTCAACACTGTTTGGCGGATTATTCTTGAAATCGGCTAATCGCACATTTTGCTTTGAGTAAAGATCTTGTAATTCTTTGAAAATGGCTCGAGATGAAAACCGTTCACCAGGTTTGAATCTTTTAACCGGATGCATATTACCTAATTGATTATAAATTATTGGTTAAATACTCCAATCATAAATTACAATTCTCTGTACATTCTCTGAATTTCTTCACTATTTTTTATAGTTAAAAACGAAAAAATCGTTTCAGTTACCTGGTGGAACGATAGCGCCAAATAATGAAAAAGAATGTGCCATCCACGCTTCCCACGTTGAAAAATCGTACAGTGATTGTGGAGTTTCATTACATTCAGCGATGAGGTCATGATTGCGAACATTCAAGTTAGGCCTTTTCATCAAAGATGCGAGCGTTTCCAAATTGATCATATTCCGTTTGGCTATTTGCATGCTGTTACTATAAAATGTTCGATGTGGACGTTTCGTTGGTTTTAAAATTCGTTTACGGCTTGTACTACTGCCATCCTTTGCCTTTTTACTGGACGAAGACGTATTTGCGGAGCCACCCGGAGCATTTTCGCTATTTTTTGTATTGTCCGTATCAGTTGATTTATTTTTGTCGGTTTTATTGCTCGATTTGCTTGACTTTTTTGACGATTCAACCGATTTAGCATGCTTTGATTTTTTACTACTCTTCGATGATCGGCTGCTACTGCTCGACGTCAATTTACTGGCATTTGCATCACTTTCGGAATTTTTCAGTTTTTTTGCACTCTCTCCGCTAGTTTTTAATGTGCTCGATTTCTTTTCAATACTCAAGGCGGACGACATCACGTCGATGTCTTCATGTGTTGAACTTTGTGTTATTTGTTCCGGTAGAAATTCGGTGGGATTTTCAATTTTAATTTCAATCTCTCTGGTCAAATCTGACGGTCGATTTTTTAACAAATCAATTGTGGTCAAACTGTCTTTGAGTCGTACACCATCTACAAATGCAACACCGCCATCAATCGATTTCGAATCATCCAAACCTAATGAGTGTTTATCGATTGCTGGTGCCGCAACGTTGTCAATGCAATGTGCCACATTCATGTGTTCACGTACTGGACTAATATATGGTGTATTTGTTTTATTGAATCGATCGTCGCCTCTTGTGTTTTCAGTATTCGCACCGTTGCCTGGGCTGTTGGTACGTTTTCGTTCGCTTTCCGTTTGATTTGGCGACTTAATCGACTCCATTATCTGTGATAAGCTTTCCGGATCTAAATCTAAACCGGACATACTTGTTGATGTTTTTGGCAACATTTGACCAAGACCTGTGTCATCTTTGCTTTTGATTGGATCATTTATTAAAATATCTGCTAAACGAAATAGACATAATGACAATCAATTAGAAAATTGCTACTGAAATTACCTGATTGATTGTTTTGGAAACCAATGCGATGCGATATATTTACCTAAAATACCACTCTGATTTGAATCTTGCATGCTCTGCTCGTCTAAAAATGAAAATACCATTTCATCATCGGTTTTTTGTGCTGTCTCACATTTTTCTTGGAGAACATTCTTCGTACCTTCAGATACACCTCCACCTCCACTTTCGTTTGTGCTAATTGCATTTAAGGAACCAAATTCACCTTTTGCACCTGCCAATTCATCAGCACAAAAGCCATCACTCTTCTTGCCTGCATCACCGTCATTACCATCGCAATCGGCCGATACATCTGATTTATCTTTGTTGATGCATTCCGTGGGAAATGGACTTTTTCCTATTTTACTTGCAACATCACCGATCACCGATTCGCTGGTCAAATTTGAATCTTGTGATTCGAGCAAATTTTTTCCAAGCAATTCTCCCGGTTCCATAATATCTTTGTCCGTAATTGTTTCTGATTTGCTGATAGTTGGCGAGTTTTCGTTTCGTTTATTGTCACTGTTATCGCGATTGTCATTGCTATTGGTGTCATTATTGTCGCTCAGATTTGAGTAGTCAGCCGAAATCAGTGTGTTTAAGCTAATTGCCGTTGGGTTTATATAATTGGCAATACTTTCAAAATTCTCATTGCTACGAATTGAAATGTTTTCGGCTTTGCGTGATGTAATACTGTCCGGTTTAATATCATATTCATCATCGGAAATGTTGTCCGTATGTAAATCAGACATAGCGTTATCATCTTCAACACTTTTTGAACCGATTGCACTGTCCAAACTCAATCCAATGCATGATGAAACGCCTTTCAATTTTGTGTCCGAGCTCGGCGATGTTTTTAATTGATCATCATGCTCTCTTTGGCCCGAGCTCGAATCGATGCCCTTTGAACCACAGTCACGCATTAGGCTAAATGTGCTTGAACATTTCAAATCTTTTCCGCTACTATTCGAATCGCTGGTATCAGTCGTATTTAAATCATCTAAAAAGTTCATTGAATTTATGAACGGCATTTGATCGCTGTTGCTAGTTTTTATGTCAGATTTTGTATTGCCTTCCAAATTGGCACAATCTGATTTTATAGGAACATCACTTGATTTATTTGTTAAACGTATTACAAAATCATGGGAATTACTACTTTTGGCGCTATCATTCGACGAATCGTCCACATCATCGGCAAAATCGCCAACATCCGAATCACTAATATTGCTATGGTTGTCATTGGCTAAATCGGAACTAACAATATTACTATCGTTTGGCAAATTATCAATTCGATTGCTATCTTCAGAGCGTTGCATGCCAAACGTTCGGCTACCATCAGTTTTTTCACCCATACACCCTAATTTATCACTTGATTTTGGGCTTTGGTGTGAACCTTCACCACCCGCACCTTTCTCATGTTCACCGCCCATTTTAGCCGAATCGGACGAACTATCTGCATCGGCCGATAAAATTTTTTCTAAACTTTCACTTGGATTTGTGCATTGTTTGGCGGTGTTTTCATCAATATCATTTTCGGACGTGTTCTTCTTGCTCTTTCCATCGTTGTTTTTATTTGGCGAATGCTTCTTTTGCTCAACGTCAGAAGCATCGTCTTCTTCCTCCTCATTTTCTGAATTTTCGGTACTGAAAAAAATAATAAAGACCATTGTGAAATCAAACCCAATTAATGTGAACCATCGAACTCACCTTTCATCGTCGTCCGAGTCGTCCGAATCGTCTGAATCATCATCGGTGTCATCGCTGTCACTGTCGCTACTTTCGTTTAGATTTTTTACATTTTTATGTTCATTCTCGGATTTTTTATTTTGATCATTTGATTCGAAGGACATTTTTGTTTCGTTTTCATTGAGCTCACTCTCGCCTTCGCCAAATATATTTTCTAATGCACTATTTAGGAAATTGGTATCGTTCAATGTATTATTTTCAAGTAAATCGATGTCAGTAGAAAGATGTTCACTTTTGATGCTAATGTCTAAAGCATTTGTGATGTTTGCATTGTCAATTGCCGCTGTATCGGATGTTGGTAAGCCCAAGTTTTTATCCGGATCAGTCTTCATGTGGAGAATTTTCTCTTTGATTTCATCATCACTTATCGATTTGCCACTCTCTTTGACACTACCACCCGGTGAAATCTGTTCGTTTGCATTCACTTTATCGATTATACTATCTGGCGATGGGTTTGGTGTCAATTGATTATTTTGCGGTTGTTCTGATGTCAGAACAAACGGCGAATGTGTGTCATCGTAGTCACTGGACGAATTCAAAAAGTTTTGTAGTTCATATTGTGATGATAGTTGATTTGGCGACGGTATTGGAAGTGCTTGCTGAAAATGCCATTTGTAAAATATCATTTAGCACATGAAAATTGAATCGATGATTTATATTTGTTATTTGTTGTTTGAGCTTACCGATTCATATTCGGGCGGTGAAACCGACGATGGATACGGGAAATACGGTGAAAGTTCCGGGCTTGATGGTGTTCCTAGGGTTAATTACAAAAAAAGAATAGAAAAAATGGGTATTAATAAACATGTAATGGGTCTGTAATGGAATAGTAATTTTTAAGGGAGCAAACCTTGTGGTGTTCCCATCGATGTAATGGCAGATGATATATCAGCCATTAGTTGATTACTCTGGTTTAAGCCACAACTGGATGGTTTGTCAGGATTCTTTCGTCTAAAAAGATATATTAATTAATTAATCTAGGTGTCAAAGGACATAGGTGGTTCATTGATTGATAAATTGCTTATATATACTTACATCGTGCAATTGCACACGGATTTGCTTGTTGGATGTTCAAAATACTGTTCTTTATCAGTTGTATTTTCTATAACATTTTCAGCCTCCTGTTGATGCGTTGTCAAAATTTGTGAACCAATTACGCATTCTTGCCAAACGCGTTCACCAATTATATTCTCGACGCCGAACGGTGTTTGAATTTTATTTTCATTTTCAATTTCGTTCATATCGTCTTGTTGGCACATTTTTGGAATCGAACTAAACGCAAATTCTTCGTCATCGATATCAGTGACGAGCACATATTTGGCAGGATAACACATTCTAACGCCGCCGGTGATTACCTCAACAACGGGCGGATAATGGTATTCAGTCTTGCGAAGCAATGGATAAAAAATTGACCATTCTTTGAGTGTTTTCTTTGTTATTGGATCCGATGGTTTATAATATTTGCCGGTTAGTGTACCGGCCAAACCGTACGGCGCCAGAATGACCGGATGTTGATTAAAATCACTATTCAATGCAGCCTCTTTTACATGATCTAATGTTAAACGTCGCACATTCGGATGATTACGTAAATCAATGGATGTACACACTGTACTTTCGCCGTGCACAAAAAATCCAAACGAAAATGACATGTGATGATAACTGAAAATACAAATACCACAAAACAGTTACATTTAATGACGTTTTTGGATAGCAAATTTCAACCTTATTAAAATAATTTTGTGATCTTAAAAAAGAATGTTCAAAAAAGAACGAAGACCATTACTAATTCTTGGCGTAATCGTCCCTGAGAATATTTCGATGGATTTTTTTCTAGGATTTCGCATAATTCAAAGCAACATCAATCTACAGAATGTGCTCTAGTTAACAAGATCGAATTCCATGAAGCCTTAAAATTAGGAAAGAAATTAATTTATATTTACCCATTTTCGATGGAGCAATTTTGCCTTGTACATGGTTGCACAAACCATTTACCTAATCGCATCACACCTCTCGATAGTAAACATCTAAAGAAGAAGAAAAATCCGCATTAATATATTTTCAATGAATGTTGAATGTTCGCGTAATTACCGTTCGATCAAATTGTGTAACGCCTTGAATAACAGAGATCGACACTCGTAGCTAATTCCATTTTCATAGGAGCCTTCAGCCGTCTCAACCGTTGGTTTCATAAGTTCAGGTACAAGCAATTCATTGAGGTCGGGTTCTTCGCCATACCAAAATATCCACAGCTCTTTCGATGTTTTCAGTGACAATGGTGGAAATGTCATGGAATTTTGTGTGCGTGCATCATATAAATTACTGGGATTGAATGAATCGACCTTTTTCGATGAAATACGGCGCCAAACACACAGAATATTTTCACGTAAGCATCTTGCATATGAACGGAGTATTGGATCTTTCAGCGGTTCATTTGTTGGATCAACAAATACGAATTTACGCCATCGAATGCCACACAAATCAGTCTATGTTAACAAATGAAATTGAGCAACAATACAACAATGGTGAAATAACATTACTACTTTTAAAATATAAAATGCGAAAAAGATTGACGGCAGTAAAAGAAGAGCGAACATAAAAACAATCAAAATGAAAGCATTTGTCGGTGTACGATTGAAGCAAACAAGAAAAATAAAAGAGCTTGTGCTTTAACAAAATAAAATTTCAAAAAGAAGAAGAAGACGAAAAAAAACGCGGAGGAGGAGGAGGAGGAGAAATGACTGACAAAGCCAAAAACAAATAAACAAACAATAAAGCGGAAAATCAAATGAAGATAGCTTAAATAAAATAGCTAATTTGTATTTGTGCTTGATCTGTTTATGGAGCGGCGGCACTAGTATTTGTTCATGGATAGTATAAAAGAAAGCATATGTTGCTTGACACACATTCACAATTACATTTCATGTTTCGATTACATTTAATGAATGGACGACAGCACCAACACATCAACCGTTCACTTAAAAAAAAGCACAAACATACACCACGCACACAGAGAGAGAGTAATAGAAACAGAAAACAGCAACACCAGCAGTGATGAGCAACAAAAACATGTTTAATTCGAATATGTATGCAATATTATATCCACATAACTTCGCGTATCATTAAAATAGCCGTCCATTTTTCTTTTATTCTTTTTAAAAAAAACTTTTTTTGTTGTTTCTTTTTCACCATTTGAAAAGGATAAACGGCAAAACGCATAAACAACACACACGAAAATGAATTCTAATCGAACAAACAAATCAATGAATGAATGAATTCAATTGCTAGCTCTTTTTCTTACAAATTGTGCGTGCATACAACTGCTTCTACGGCCGATTAGCTTCAATTTATAACAACAACAATGACTACTAGCAACCACAAAAATAAATTATATTTGATCCACTATTTAAGCGAACGAACAAAATAAATAAATAAATATATCAAATGTTTACCAATGCAAAAAAGTTCGTATGACAATCTTCCAAGCTGCCACTATTCGATATAACAGGAGGATTCATCATTTTGATCAATGTCAATGATTTATTCCGATGAATTGGTGTCGATTTCCACACAGCTCACAAATTTCCAATTCTGTTTGGTTTTCGCACTCACTTTGTATATATGCACATATACGGACAAGATGTGTATATATGTCAAGTATTTTTCCTTTAATTTTTATTTTCGTTCAAATTGTATTACACTATCAGGACCGAAAAACTATTTGTATTTCATTTGGATTATCTTATGTTTGAGCTACAATTTATTTGAATTAAATTGATTGCTAAAAAAAAAAATTTACTACGCGTTTTCACTCATTTTGGTGTCGTGACCAATGTTTGTGCCAATTGAACGAAGAATTTAGTGTTAAAAATTTATCTAAAACAAACACACTAAACACTTTTAATGGCGATTCTACAAATGGCGGCCATTGAATTTTAAGCTGTACAAATCATTTCATGATTTGTGTTGCATTGTTAAAATATGAATACCACACACGTTCATATGGTATGGTTCATGTATGTCATACACACAAACATACACACATAGATTGACGAATACATGCAAAACGTCAGTGCATTTGTGTAGACGTTTGACGTTTCCAATGTTCTCTCACACACAACAACATCAATCATCAAATTAATTTTATCTGAATAGCAAATCTTTTATTGCCATTGAATGTTAAACAGTTATATTTTTATTAAATGAATGGAAAAAATTGTAAAAAATATAACACTTCAACAAAATTCCATCGATTTGAGTCCGGTATTTGCTATTTGCTTGAATTAAATGTTGACTGAAGTTAGTCAAAATGAATCTGTCACTACGTAACGAACAATATTTCATTCATACCCAGTTCAATGGTCTCAAGTACACAGATTGTTTTCAACATATTGGAGAATTTGGAGAATTTTTCCGACTATGATTCATTGGCATCATTGCGGATGTTTTTTTTTAATTCAATTTAAATGTTCACTCTATTTATGGTAACATTTTTTTAAAAACCAATGATTTGAATACAGGTTCTGTTTCGATTCGAAATTTTTGGAAGAAAAAACTTGCATTACCACTTCATTCAACGTATTCATTTTATTATCACTTATACGATGAAAGTACTCGACATAGTATAAAACAACCTGTGGTATTTACATTGTAACAATATATTTTTGAAATGCGCTAAGGCAATCTTAGTTGTTCGTTAATATCCGATTGTTTAGAATCAGCAAACAAATCGTTGCCTACTTTTTCACCATTTTTTTTTTTTGTATTTTTAATAATTATTGATAAACCGTCAATGTTTATGAAAAATCAATGACTGTTGAGATTTGGACACGTTAGAAAATCGGGTCTTTTTATAATTTATACATTGTACATTTTTTAATTAATTTTCGTTTGTATATTATTGCTTAAATTATTTAATTGTTATAAATAATAACAATTTCTATAACGAGAATTGTACTCATTCGAAAATTTAAATAATCCGCTTGGTGTCAAAGTTCGAAAATTTCCCGAATTCGAAGTAGATGTCTTCGAAAATGCGCATCAGCCAATCAGATGTTAAAACGAAACAACTTTCGAAATGATAACCAATCCAAGACAGCCAACACCAATAAGCGTAATTTTTTTTCTGCTTTGTGTTTTGTACATACAAAATTCTATCCAGAGTGTGTGCCGGCATTAACACTTCATTCTCATTTCATTCGCAGAAACGAGCTTCAAGCAGCACATACAAAAATTATATATATATATATATTCCAGAGCCACGTCTCAATTTGAGTCGTTTCGAAAACAGACCGAATCAATTTAGTTTTAGTATTTTTTTATATTGTAAAAAATTCGTTACAAATTATTGTTGAAAAGAAATAATTGTGTTTTAAAAAAAAAAAACAAAGAGAAAATTAAGTAAAATGTTATTTAAATCCGCGATTGTGTTTGTGACGCTGTTTGCGTTTTCGTTGGGTAGCGATGTTTTAGACCTAAATGACGATGATTTCAAAACAAGAGTTGCCGAAACTGAAACCACTTTAGTAATGTTCTACGCACCATGGTATTTATTTTTTCTAAATTATTTCTTTTAAATTGAGCATAGACTTTTTTTAACCAATTTTTACGGAAAATTCCATTGTTTGACATTTGATTTCGTTTACGAATGAGATGAGATCATATACATAGCAGTACCGTAATTGGATTAACAATGTCTATGTCCGTTGTGTAGTGTGTTTTTTTTTTTGGGTTAATTTAATCAGAAGAAAAACCGAATTTATTTGTTTGTCATTTAAAATAGGTGCGGACATTGCAAACGTCTTAAGCCAGAATATGCTCATGCATCTGAATTATTGCGCGGCTCTGATCCACCAATTGCTTTGGCTCAAATCGATTGTACCGAAGCTGGAAAAGAAACGTGTAGCAAATTTTCAGTAAGTGGCTATCCAACATTGAAAATTTTCAAAAATGGTGAATTCTCAGCTGAATATAACGGTCCCCGTGAAGCAGGTACGTGTCAATATAACACGCAATAGAATAATAAAATTTGATTACGACAACACAAACAATTCTCGTCCAATTAAAAAAGACCTATTTGGAATGGCATACATTTCTCTCTCTCTCTCTCATTCTCAGACATTCTCTTTTTTTCAATTATTTGGCACAAAAAAATTCATTGTTTTTTTTTTCTTAATTCACTGACATTTTTTTCTGATGAAATTATTTTTTATCGACACTTTATGTAGCCGGAATTGTTAAATACATGCGCGCTCAAACCGGTCCAGCTTCAAAGGACTGTAACTCATTGGATGAATTGGTGAAATATCTTCAAGCGCAAGAAACAACATTGGTTGGATTCTTCGAAAAGGACAGTGCATTGAAGGGAACATTCTTGAAATATGCTGACAAATATCGTGAAAAGCAACGTTTCGGACACACATCAGCTGCCGATGCATTGAAGAAATACGGTGTTACCGATGGCATTATTTTGTTCCGTGCCCCACAATACAGCAATAAATTCGAAGAAAGCCAAGCCAAATTCGAAGGTTCAGGCATTGAAGAATTGACCACATTTGTGAAAGAGAACTTCCACGGTTTGGTTGGACATCGTACACGTGACAATGCTGCCGAATTCAAACCACCATTTGTTGTCGCTTACTATGCCGTCGATTATGCCAAAAATCCAAAGGGAACCAACTACTGGCGTAACCGTATCTTGAAGGTTGTCAAACCATACAGTGGTCAATACCGTTTTGCCATCAGCAACAAAGATGAATTCCAACACGAACTCAATGAATATGGTTATGATTACACTGGTGATAAACCAGTTGTTTTGGCACGTAATGCACAAAATCAAAAATTCATCATGAAGGAAGAATTCTCGTAAGTTATTTATTTTATCCTTTCATTTAAAAATCTGAAATTTTAAACTTCTATTTGCTCTACATTTCGTACAGAATTGAAAACTTGCAAGCATTCGTTGACGATTTAGAAGCCGGCAAACTCGAACCATACCTTAAATCAGAACCAGTTCCAGAAGACAACAATGGACCAGTCAAAGTTGCTGTTGCTAAAAACTTCGAAGATGTTGTCACCAACAATGGCAAAGACACTCTTATTGAATTCTATGCCCCATGGTAAATATTTAAAAAAAAAATTATATTTTACTCGTGTTCCAATGTTAAATGCAATTTTTTTTATTTGTTCTAAATAGGTGCGGTCATTGCAAAAAATTGGCTCCAGTATTCGATGAACTTGGTGAAAAATTGAGCGAAGAAGAAGTTTCAATTGTGAAATTCGATGCCACAGCCAATGATGTGCCACCAGAATATGAAGTTCGTGGTTTCCCAACATTGTTTTGGTTGCCAAAAGACTCAAAATCAAGTCCAGTTAAATATGAAGGTGGCCGCGAATTGGACGATTTTGTTAACTACATTGCCAAACATGCAACAAACGAGTTGAAGGGCTTCAGCCGTGCCGGAAAACCGAAGAAGACCGAATTGTAAATTTAACAAAAACACAACAACAACAAAAAAAAAACATTCAGCCCCATATTAAAAACATACAATGAAGAGATAAGAGAAAGCGCTGAGATAAGAAAACAAAAAAAAAATACACTTAATTTAACTATCAATTTGTATTGTAAGGAAATCTTTTTTAAAGCATTTTAATTTTTCAAAAATAGAAGAAAACAAATTGATAAGTAGTGGATAATAATGTTGTAATTATTCCAGAGAGATAAGATGATAATAAATAAAAGAATTGCTACAATACAAATCCAAAACCAAACAACAAATTCAAACACACACCACAATGGTACGGAAAATCATTTCAAAATGAACAAAATGCCACCATATCGACCAATCATGTTGAATATGGAACTCAACTTCATTGCTATTAAACGCACAACAATTAATTGAACATTTCAATTTTTGCCTTGATCATTGCACTTATTTCGATGTTTTGTCTGAGGCACCGTTTCATTTTCATTTGAAATAAAGAAATGATTACATTCAGTGTATGGTTTGTTTTTTATTCAACATAAAGAGTCAATCTGATCGACAGTGTTTTGCTTGGGTCCTCTGATGGTTTTAGATAAGGTGATTCTACGTTATTCTCATAGGCTGTGAGTCATAGCTAGGGAGAAATTGACGAGCTTTCATCGCCGATAAGGGTAATTTAGCAAAATCTAGCAACATTTTTTTGCCGATCAAAAATAATCTACACAACAATTAGAATAATGGAATGTGGTCAACATTTTTTCTCAAACGTATCTGAAATCCACCATGTTTTATTTTGTGCTATAGTACATTATAATCAAGAAGGGACTTTTGTCATTTCCCAATAAACCAGTAGCGTGATTTAATAATTTGATTCATTGCGTTTTCGAGTACCGTAAACAAAAAACGAGACAAATTTCGACGTTCATTATGCAATATGATAGACAATTTTTTAATGACTTTTTCGTTTTATTTTAATTCCAATAAATGAAATGCTACTATGACATAAGATAAACATCGACAAATTGAATTTCAATAATTTATAATTCTTTCAAATACATACGATAAGAACAATAAAAATCTATGTGAAAATATTTCGTTATTACACTTGATTCAAAGTGTTGTACTAGATTCATAAAAGTGAATTGATAATATTTAGCGTGAGCTAGACAGAGCGAGTTGAAATAAAACAGCTGTCATCGTCATTTGTCAGAAGAAAAGAACATTGAACAATTGAAAGAACACAATACATTCGTTTTGACTGAATGTCAGTTTTCATACTGTTGAGTTGAGTGTAGTAATTTCATTTTGGTCTCAAAGTCTCTTGAGCTCGATTCTAATGATGAGATAAGTGTGTATTGTGAGAAAAAAAGGGCAAATGATTATTTGATAGGATATAAATGTTTGTGTTACTTGCAAACAGTCCGTATTTCATCAGATTGTGATAGTATCGATACGAAAATTCACAAGGTAAATTAATGATATCTGTAAATTTAGAACCGCAAATGAGCTTGACTCATAAATTAGCAATAAAAAAAACTTATCAATATGATTGTGCCGGTTCGTAAATATAGATTCAATTGTGACTTAGCAATGAATCGCTTAGTAGTAATATTTTCGATTGTCAATGTATTCATGGTGTTAGAAAATGTAATTTCTAACATGAATTATCCAATTTTTCTCTTTACAGAGTGTCTTCAATGGTGCAATATTTTTTACGATCTCGTGAAAGAAGCGAAGCGATTGGATTCGAAGTGTCGGTTCTTGAATTTCGTTTTGTGTCTTCGAATGTGTGTTGTACGGCAATTTAGTTGAATATATTATTTTAAATAGAGTTATAAAAAAAATTACGTTACACTGGCCTACATTGGGCAATCGGATTAAACAATTTGGGCAATTTATCAGATCGTAAAGTGTGTTATTGTTGTATGCATACATTAAGATCAAGAAATATTGAATAATGGCGAAAGTTTGGTCATATTTTTTTGTTATGCTTTGGATGCTTCTCATCATATCAAGTGGCATCTATTTATTTGCACGTGGTTTCTTACTATCACGACATGTTCGCACCGAACACAATGAGTGCACACGGCTGAAAGCATGCGAATCAGATAAGGCAGACGTGCGTATTCAATCTTTACCATTATAATTTTCGCTTTTAATTTAATAATTATGTTCAATTTTAGGATCTAAATTGTTTGAGCGCACCTAAGGTTGATGAGATTTTCACCGATGTCAACTCATCATCGGAGTACTGTTTACCGACCAAAACACGGGTCATTTTAGTCGTCATCGATGCATTGAAATATGAATTTGGCTTATTTGATAAGGGTAAATTGAAATAAACTTATCATTATTAGGTTTTGATTTTTGTATGTGTGTTGATCGGTTTTAGATAAAGAGAATGTAAATCCATATGAAAACAAATTGCCAGTCTTTAATCAAATGCTAACAAAATACCCGCATAATACTCGATTCATGAAATTGGTGGCCGATGCACCAACAACGACACTACAGCGATTAAAAGGCATTACAACCGGCAGTTTGCCAACTTTTATAGATGTTGGCTCAAATTTTGCGACCGTCGAAATTAATGAAGACAACATCATTGATCAGGTAAAATTGTTGGAAATAATTGATTTTCATAGGAAAATTGTGCAATTTGTTGTTTTTTCTTCAGATTAATCGAAGTAACATGTCAACCGTTTTTCTGGGTGATAGTACGTGGACAGATTTGTATCCAAAACGATTTTTACGTCAGTATTCTTATCCAAGTTTTGATATATTTGATTTGGATACGGTTGATAGAGCCATCAATCAGGTGCTACCGAAAGAATTAAAACAAAACGATTGGTCACTACTCGTTGCACATTATTTGGGTGTTGATCATTGTGGCCATAAATTTGGTCCAATGCATTCGGAAATGGCACGAAAATTGACTGAAATGAATTCCGTAATTGAAAAGATTATTGAACAAATGGATGATGAAACGACTCTTTTTGTGATTGGTGACCATGGAATGACCAATACCGGTGACCATGGTGGTGACTCTGCAGATGAAGTTAACTCATTGATTTTCACCTATTCGAAAAAGTATAATTTCATAGCCGAAAGCGGAAACAATACAATGGATCAGGTATGCATCCACAATGATGTATATTTTAACAGTTTGAAAATCAAAATTTAACGGAAAATATTTTCATTTGCAGATTGATTTACCACCGACCATAGCTACAATATTGGGTGTGCCAATTCCATTTTCAAATTTAGGATCAACCAATTTTGATATTGTCCCCGATGTGCCGATTCCAAATATGAATAAATTCCAAGCTCAATTACTACACACCTGGCAGAATACAAAACAAATGCACATTTATTTTCAGAAATATGTGGGCCAAGAGGATGGTGAAATACCAATCAAACTCATTGAAAGCTATATGTCACAATTTCATATATTTTCACTGCGTATCGCTGCCCTATACAAAGACGATGCAATGGATAGCTTTTGTCAAGATGTTCGAAATTATTTGAAAATAATTGCAAACGATTGTCGAGGGATTTGGGCACAATTTGATGCAAATTTGATATCGCATGGTCTCATTTTGACGTCAGTAACAACATTCTTTGTATTTTTGGTCACAACAAATTTGAAATTCAATCAATTTGAAATCATTTTTACGGAATACAATTTGATGATAATATATATGAGCAGTATTTTGGTAGCCATTGGAACGCCAATCGTACACTATGTACTTGAATGGGATTATAGTATAATCGATGTGCTTCGATATACAGGTATTTATGGTGTAGCATTGCTAGCATTTCTACTCGTCCAAAATTGGGAATTCATAGCGGCCAATTGGAGTACACAACAGCACTTTTGCAATTTATTCACACGCTCAATATTCATAGTCGCTGTTAGCACATTCTTTTCGAACAGCTTTATCATTCACGAACAAAAAATTCTCTGTTATCTGGTATGCGGTGCGTTGGCCGTCTTTTTGTACAAAGTTCGAAAGGAGTATGTTTGGTTGGCAAGTCTACGCAAACTACGGCCCGAATTCATATTTCATTCATCATTTTTCAAATTGGCTGCATTGACAACAATGGGCATGTTACTATTGAGATCATCATATAATTTGCATCTATGCCGCGAAGAACAAGGAAACTGTAACGATTTCAAAATGGAAACAGCCAAATTACAAAATACACGATACAAACCACAAAAAATGATTGGTAGTGCAGGTACCGCAGCCACAATAATCAACTGGATCGATTTGTTACCAATTTTAATATTGGCTATGTTTGCCGCATTTTCACGCTTATTTTTACGAAAATGTGGTAATCTCAGTGGCTATTCACCACACGTACTCTTGGCTAGATATGGACCAATTGTTGCTGCTGTTGCATGTAGTTTACATTTTGTTGCCACACTATCTGCACAATGGCTTCGAGACGCTTATCAAGTTCGCATCGATTCATTGGCTTGGATTGTTTATACCATGTTCATTACACAAATTATGATTGTCATTACACGGCCATTAATGTTATTCATTCTACAAAAACCAAATCGAACATTTAATTATTCGCCATTTGGTTGTGTTGTTCCGCAAATCGTCATGAAAATGAAGCAAATGTATGAAAATTCTGGTAACGCTGAGGATGAAACAACAAATGATGATATTCCAATCGTATATGGTTTGGCAACCGTATATTCGTCCGTATTATGTTCGATTGGTGTTGGTTTCACATTTGTGCTTGCACTTTTACTTGGTCCGAAGGCGTCAACCGGCATTTTTATCATACTAATCGCAGCTGCACTCATCTTAGTATTAAATTCAATTCATCGATATCAACGTTGCACTCGACTCGGTAATTAACTTACATGTAGATGTTTTTCATTTTGTTCGCACATTCATTTATTGATTTATGTTCGTTTTTTTGGTATCGCTATAGCATTCTGTTTGCAGCCGGAAGTGATTGCTCTAGTCGCGTGGCATTTATTAGCACACTATAGTTTTTATGCAACCGCACATCAACCAACTCTGTCACAAATCAATTGGCATGCTGCATTTGTGGGTCGAACGGCATTATACGATCACAACAATGTCACATCAGCTATTTTGATATTGATTAACACTTTTGGTGGTCAATTTTTGATTTCTGTATTGTATCCATTGATGGTGATCGCACCAAATGCAATCTACACAATTTATCCATCGTTGGCACCAAGACGCACATCGAAAATGGTCATTAAAAACCAAAATGGCACAAAACAACGTGAAATTTTTAAGAAAATCAACAATAATTTGGATAACGGTGCGGTTAACGTGACCACATTTGCTGGCCTTGACAGTGAAAATGAGAACTTGGACATACCACATGGTGAATTGGCGCTGTACGAACACGAGGATCTATTCTTTGGCCAATTGTACAAGACGGGAACACAATTGATAATATTGCAGGCAATACGGGTGAGAAAAATTTTGAAATTTTGTGTACTTCAGCTATATATATTTCAAACTAATTATTTGAATATGCTTATTTGATTTTGCAGATCTTTTGTTCGATGCTTGCGTGCACCATCCATTGCCGTCATTTAATGGTGTGGAAAATATTTGCGCCGCGTTTTATATTCGAAGGAATTGCAACGTTTGTTGTATTCGGTGCGATACTCATCGGATTTTTAGTTATAATACGAATACACAAAGCTGTCAGTCATTTAATAACGGTCATGAGCGATGCCAATCGATGAATCAACTCAAATTCTTCGATCTATTCGAAAATTCTTAAGTAACGTACAATTTATATGCAGCGACAGAACTATGCGCTTCAGTTGTTTATTTTCTAGAATATTATTGATTTTGTTTCTCTTTTTTCGTCCAATTATTTAAGTAGATTTAAAAACTTTGAAACCAACATGTTTAAATTATTATAGTCAATAAGAGCAGTATTATAGTAAAATCAACACTTTTGCAACAAACAAAAAAAAAAAATAAAGAAAGAAATGATACAAAATAACAATGTGTCAATCTCATTCTAATGATTTTTTTTTCATATTTGTCTTTGAATTATTAATGAGATACTCCTTTTGTTTTATAAAGGGATTGCTATTAATTACCAAAAATGATGTTACCAGAAATAAAATGTATCACAAGAATTGTAAAAATGAAATAAAAATGGATGAAATATAATAAAAATGATGTAAAATAAAACACAAATAACTTTGTTCATACGTTTATTTTTCATACCATGAATACAAAAAAGTTTTTTTTTTTTCATTTTGGTTTTTTTATGTGCTTTTTTCTATTTTCTTGAAACCTGCTGAGATAAAAAAGAAAATGCATATTTTTTATTAACAAAAATTAATAAATATTTGAAACAAAAGAATTGAGAGATATTTAAATTTTATTTCTATAAACAATGTGAAAACGAATGAGACAGCATGTACGAGTGCTATTTGCTATATACACTCCTCTCTCTATCTCCCGGCTGATAGCATCATTCGCATCGTGCGTTCAGTATCAGCTGTTATGCACACTATGGCAATCAAATATCTGTATACATTTGTGTACATGCCATAGGTGTGTAAAGAGGCAGCGCTGTATGCTGTATCAGTGTATTAGACATCAATGTATAATGCAATAGAGCGAATAAACCATACGATTCACCTGCTGTCTCGGTAATACGCACGTTGTTTATACAGCAAAGTGCATGTTTGTTTATTTGATTTTCATGATCTTTTCTACATTACGTAGGTAGCTCCTTAATTATTGAGAATTGGCAATATATGGTGTTGCCGGATGCAAACCATTGTCATATTCGTAAAGTTTGACATTTTTTAGCATGAACGTCCTCAGATAGTTTTGTCATACGATCGCAATTTGTATTGTTTACAGTGACATGTAAATTGCGTCTCAGCCAAAAAATGAAATTAACAAAAGAAAATTTTCGTGCAATTATTTATCACAACTTTCGACGAGGATTATCTAAACAACAGTGTGTCAATGAACCTAAATTTTTATATGGCGATGAAGCACCATCTCTGGCCACTGTATATCGCTGGTTTATAGAATTCAATCATGGTCGTCGTTCGCTCAAAGACGAGCCCCATGAAGGTCGTCCAAAATCGGTTGTTGTGCCAGAAACTATCGATCCAGTGCGTGAACTAAAAATGGAAGATCGTCATGTGACATACCGTGAGATTGGGGCATCCCTAGGCATTTCATCCCACATAATTTGATAATTGCTCAAAAAGAGGCTCGTGTGAATTGGTGGAAACAAATGCTCAAGAAATTCGATCGCGGTGCTTCCAAAAATGTCGATAAATACCCCGAAATTGGGTTGGGGCTCGATCCTCCTGCGGGGTGAATTGACTCGGAGGGCAGTGGTCATAAAAAATTTCTTTCGTTATTCTGAACAACTTTGTAGTACATTATTTTTTGATCCGATGAAGTTTTGACATTGGGTACTTTACGGGCATTTACAGTAACCGTGCCACTAATGATAACATCAACTAAGTTAGGAATAAGAACGAAATTAATGTCATGTTTACTACTGGCATATTCTACTCAAAGCATTGATTCATTTGAACTGGATTAATTTTTGCGGGGTTTCTGATCATATTCAAACCGAATCTGAGATCAGATTGGTTGCCGATTTTATTTTTATCTCAGATAGCTATAGCTTTTTTTTACATTAATACTCAACTTAGCTAATGTAGTAATCTTGAGCACTTAAATTTTGGATCAGAAAAAATTTAGAATATTGAAAAATGCATATTTTTATTGTGGTGTCCGTAATCTTTTGACTTGTACGTCATCACGCCCATTCAATCGAACGAATTTTCTCAATTGAAAAGAAAACATAAATACAATTTTCTTTCTCTAAATGATGAATATATTTAAATTACTTACATGAATAAATCGAACAATTAATATTTTGTGAGCCACATTGAATTTATTCGTCTGCTGTTGCTGACTATAGATATGTGACTAAGCTTATGTGTAGGTATTCTCTCTCCACATGCGTGCGTATATTTGTCAAGTATGTGATCGTTGGAAGGGAAATGGGATTTTTTCTACGTAGTACGATACGTACTACGTGAAAAAATATTGCCATCATTCAATAATACTGTTTGTTAATAATATTATTTAAAACTATATTAGCTGAAATGAATTAGAAATTGAAATTTTTAAATTTTTCGGTTTCAAAAAAATAAATTCATTCATATACATATTATAAATATAACTTTTCATTTAAAGAAAGATACACATCCACAGATGGAGACGGAAAAACATAAAACGATTATTATGAAACATTTTCGTAATGAAATTTTATTTGGGGTTTTACTTATGCGTTTTTGTTCAGAAATGATTTGGATATTAAAAAACAGAGATAAAAGAATGAAAAATCAAAATAAATCTAGCAAACAAGTAGTTTGACTAAAAGTGGATCGCAATATCTCATTTCTTTTATACTTTTCATATTAAACGAAACAATCACTCATTAGGATACATTTTTGTCATGTTTGATTTAAGATTATTAATGAAATACTCGCTGAAAAAATAAACGTTTTTTTATAGGTAAAAAGCATTTTTGTTTATTCTTGAATAGTTTTATATCAAGGCAAAATCATTGATTTTGCTGCATTTCCATATATTTTCAAAGACGAAGAAGATAGATTTCCACATAAACCTCCTCCTTTGAATTAAAATAAAAAATTCCTTTTTGATGCCCATTTATAATATTGTTATATATATGCACCATCCTGTTGTATCCAGTTAATTAATCTCTCCATTTGCAAGTGTACACGATATATGAACCCTAGATTCGATTCGGTTATTTCAAACATCTTTTTTCACATTTCAATACAAAGGAAACGAAGTGTGAGATTGAAAGAGAAACACAAATTATATCTGTTCAAATTCGTACAAAAATTACAAATAATTCAATATCACTGTCATTCATTTTCGGATTGATCATCAAAATGGATTTGTTTATTCAATTTCCTATCAATATTATTATTTTACATTAAAATGTAAAGTTCTCAAATGAACATGTCTTAGTTACTACACAGCTTAAAAGTAAATTTAAAATTAGATGTGTGTGTTGAGTGTAAAATGTATGGGAGTTAAAGACACCTGAAATCTCGATAAAAAAAAACGCTAGTTGATTATGTAATTGCCCATTTCATTTTCCCTGAGATTTCATGTCACTCTAGCTCTCATCCATTCAAATGTACAATAGTTCATTTTGTATGGCAAATGGTGTGATTTATGTGCATGCATTTATGTTTTTCGATGAGTTTCAGTGCAAATTACAATTGTGTGTATACTATTACGATGATAATCCAATCCACGATACATTTACGCCGTCCACCATTTGCTCGAGATTTAATGGATCGTCTGGGTCGGTACCGGCTGTTTCTATGTATGTTACATGTGAATCCTTAATATTAACGTCTAAATGATCAATGCCAGTTAAATTATGTCGTTTTTGTCGCACCAAAAATTGTTTGTCCGGACGATTACCAGCATCTGTCGACTCATCACCAGCACCACCACCACCACCACCACTACTACTGAATTGACTGTCGCTCATCAAATGCTCTTCACTGATAATTTCACTTTCATCTACAATATGTTCCTCTTCGAGTGTCTGACAGGATAAAAATTATAAATAAAAAATTGAGACCATATTTAAAAAAAAAAATACAAATTTCGCTATATGACTTACAAACTCATCATCGTCCATAAATTCTTCATCATTTATGCTAAGATAAACAATGTCGCCATCATTCGACTGATCATTTTGGAAATCGTTCGAATCCTTCTTGAAATCGGGTGGATTCACAATAATTTGATCGTTCAAATGTTGTTGTTGTTCCATGTGTGCATATAACAATGGCTTTCGCATAAAACCTTGATGACACACTAAACATTCGTACGGTTTTTTATCGCTGTGCACATATCGATGTGCATTTCGATTGTCGCGACTATTGAATGTTTTACCGCATTTTTCGCATGCGAACGGTTTCACTCCGGTATGAATGCGAATATGTTTTTTATAGTGTTCAGGATAAACAAAGGTTGCATTACATGTGGCACATTTGTATGGACGTTCACCGGTGTGTGTTGCTTTTATATGATATTCTAGTAGACGTCGCCGTTTAAATGATCTCGAACATGTTTCGCATTTGTAGCGTTTGTCGTTCAAATGTGTGGCACGTTTATGTGACATTAAATTCGAGCGTTGTGCAAAACTTGACGTGCACATATCACATTTATACGGTCTGGAATGATAAAATGGAGAATTTAAGCTAAAAGCAATAAAAATTTAAAAAAATATATGCATCTTATTTACCGTTCGCCTGTGTGTGTACGTTCATGATCTTTGATTTCAGCACGTCGTGCAAACGCTTTTCCACACGTACGACAAATGAATGGCTTATGGCCGGTATGAATGATTCGATGCACTTCTAAATTATGTTGTGAACCAAATTTCTTTTTGCACACATCACATTCAAATTCTTTAATGCCGGTGTGCGTTCGAATGTGTTGTGTGAGATTTTGATTGCTGAAAAATGATTTAAAGCATGTGGTACATTCGAATGGTCGTTTGCGATCGTTATGGATTTTCATGTGCGCGGTGAGCGTATATTTTGAGGCAAAATCTTTGGCGCAATGTGGACATTTGTATGGCCGTGCTCCTGTATGCATATTCATATGCTCATCCAATAAATTCTTTGAACTATACTTTTTACCACAGGCAGTGCATGGCCAAATTTTCGGTGCATTATGTGTTTTCTTATGTATTCGAAATTGGCGTGCGTCAGTAAAACTGGACTTACATAATTCACATTCAAAAGTACCGTCGGCCAATGCGGCCACATGATCGTCCATATGATCATTGTATGGATTTCGTTTACGAAAATCTAAACCGCATATGCCGCACACATAAATCCGTTCCTTATGATCAGTTTTCAAATGAATCGATATGGTTTTTGAATCGTACACAACCATCGACGATGGTTGACACAATAAACATTGATAGTTTTTGCCATCACGTAAAAATAGCACTTTATTTTCGGTTGTTGCATTATTATTGCCACCACGTTTATTATTGCCACCACCTGATCGCATCGATGTTTTTGCCTGAAATGTTACACCATCCGAATGGTCTTTCATAAATGATGCGGCCGATGATTCATCATATGTGGATAGCTTTTGATGTTCACCCATTTCCGATGAATTTTCATCGTCATCCGGTTCATCGTCAGCGCTATCCTCTTGAAATACCAAATAATTTGAATCATTCATGTCACCATTTGTACTAATTTCAATCATTTGATCGCCATTTTGCTCAAAATATTCTTTGCCATCGTCCAAATGTTCAGTCACAATATATTGTTCACTTGCATCGTCATGATGATGCTCAGACGGCTCATCACTCATTCCATCGTTTGTATTTGTTGCACTGTCACCAAATTCAGTCGTCTCATTTATATCCTCCAAAAGAACCTATAAATTGTTTAGTTCAACAATGATTTTAATAATAATTCATTTAAGTTTTGAATTTTGATTTAAATTTTTTATCTGAACATACCGTGTGTATAGCCTGATCATCATCGATGCTTTCATCAATACCGGAAATGGCAAAGAATGGATTCGAACCATCTTCAGATTTGATGAGCATTACTTTTTTGATTTGTGATTCTTTTGCATTATTAACAACATCATCATTGCCACCGTTCACATTTTCATTTTCAAACACTTGACCAATCGGATCATCAACCGATTCAATTGCATACATATTTGAAATATTGCCGTCCACATCATTTTCATTTATCGTTTCAAAATGTTGTTCCATGTCCATTTCGATGACTTTTAAATTGTATTTGTTAACGGTTTCATTGAAGTTCGTTGTGATATTTTGTTTTAACTGTTGCAATCGTGTCACCAGGCGATCATATTCATTGCACATTGTTTGACATTTTCGGCATACGATTTTCGAATGAACGGTTGTCTCTTCAATATTTTGCTCTAAAACATCCGATAAAATAGTGGCCCATGATTTTTGTGATTTTCTTACATCTTCGTGAAACATTTGGTCAATCGGACGAATTTGGGCTATTTGAACGGTTGCATCACATAAATAGCAATTTTTATGCCGTTGAGGGGTCGCCACACTCACCCTTGATAATGTTTTAAACGTTGGATTCATGATGATACTGCTAATTACGCTGATCGGTTATTTTTTTTCTTCATTGAATTTAAACATTTAATTTATTTTATTTGTACAGGATCAATCGATCAAAATCTTCGATGCACACGATCTGAAATAAACAACAAAAAATTATTCATTTTCGAAAAAAATCCAAATGTTATGTTTAAACAAAAAATAAATAAATTCACTTAAAAAAATTATTACTATCCATACATTTCATGTTCACTTCTATCTCGAATTTTGTTTAAAATCGTAAAATTCAGCGATGTACAACAAAGAAGCAACAAAAAAATGACGCTTTACGCATTGAAATACACATTTCTCATGTGTCACAAATGGCTCCTTATTCTATCGTATAATATTTTTTCACCCATTGTGATTGACTTTTATTTTCAATTCCATTGAGTTTGGTATATTCACTTTATATTTGGCAAAAACGGCCGCTACACAAGTTTATGATCAACTTACCGGAGGTGACAAAAGAAAAAAACCAAAATAAACAAACACCAACTTTTAAAAATTGTTTTCCACGATACAATGCATCCAACTAAAAGCCACTCTAATATTGAAAATTGTTAATACACGGTACAGACATTGCGTATATTTCGACATTAATGAATAGGCTGTGCCAGTTAGTTGCTTGACAGATGTCCAAGTTAGATAGAGGGCGATACTGAACGAAATAAATCAGCGCCATCATATTGGTCACTATTTTCGCTGTTTTTTCGGCGATTTGTTTTCTTAATTTTCCTTCTTTTGAGCAACCAAATGTTTTATTTCACATTTTTTTTATTCAAAATAAGAATAAAATTGAATGCGACCTGAACTCGATTTAGAACGAATCAGTAAAATTGAAAGAACGATTTTTTACTGGCATTGTCTCATTTCGAACAATTATTTGATTTTTAACAGCAAAGTTTTTGAACAACTTTCACATATTCAAACAAAATGTTAAAAATACATAAATATTACAAATAAATGGAAATAAATGGGGACAGTAATGGATTTCGAGCAATTTTATTTCACTCAATTGTAATTTTATTGAATACTTCGTTTAAACGGTAGTGATTTGTTAGTGGTGGATTCTTATGGGTTCTTATTTCTTATTTATTTTTGAAAGTATTTAGCTTCTACGGACCAATTCATATAAGACAATGCGAAAGTGTCAACGAAATGATTTTTTTCAAATGACCGCGATAGTGCATAATTTTGTTTATTTTGTGTGTATACAGCGCCTCCATATATGACGTGATAGAACGCTTACTCTGACACTCTCAGTGCACACATACAGATACATGTCGTATGGCTTTAATCGTTGCCTTTCCAAATATGCATCGAAATGTATGCGTGTGTGTTATTGTTGATTTGAATGTGTATTCTATACAGATACATACAGATATACTAGAGAGTAGTAGTCAAAGTTGTGAAGCAAGTCAAGGATTTGTCATATGTCATTTTACAAACGAAAGAGAAAAAAGTCAGCAGCAATATACAAAACGAGAGAGATTGATTTTGTGTGCGCTCTTCTATCGAAATTCGATCATCATCGAATAATTCGTTTTAATTTATTTTTATTTTTTTTCGCATGTGTGAATTCATTTTTATTGTGAATTTTGCTGAATTGACCCGTGGGTTTTCAACGAAAAAGAAACAACAATGACGAAAAACTACGAGGTAATCTCGGTTTAAATTAAGTTGACAGTGTGCAAACAAAAAAAAATGTTATAAAGAACGAATCAAAAGATACAAACAACTCAATGAAATTAATTCCATTGAAAAGTTATTTACAAAAAAAAAAATGAGAAGAAACCGAACTCAAGGGTTCATGTGTAGATTCCGAGAAATATTTGTCGTATTCAGTATAATTTTTAATGTGCTTTGCAAATTAAATCATAGAGTGAGAAATAATGAAAGAGCAAGAGCGTGAACAAGCCAGTGGATGTCTCGAAATTATGTTTTGAATGTAAAGTTCAATTGAATTGTACACACAAACAACATACATTGTTTTGATGGTTGTACAATAAATCAGTACGAACAATTTAATTTGAAGAAAAACAAAAAACGGTTGAACGAGAATGCGTTGTATAAATCAATCAGCTTAACCAGATCAATTGCGCACTATGTTCGCTTTCAATGTAAAACAAAATTAAAAACGTTTATTTGTTTTTAAAAAAATTCTTTAAGTAGGCAAAAGATGAGTGGTTTTAAACGATTTCGGCAGAGCCATTCCGAATGAATCAATCGCATCCAATTAGAATAATCGAGGGAAAATCCTCATAAACAATTCAAGTGATATCCTATTTATCAAATGGAAATTCGCATGTTTTACTCTTTTGATTGGTGACTGTGTGCGCGCGTGTGTGTGTGTGTGTTTGTGTGCATGAAAATGTAAATTGAAGAAAATCAAAATTGTTTGCTGAAATGATGAAGAAAATGTTGCCGTTGTTTGTGTGACCGTGTACTGGTGATATTTGGCGAGACGCTCAGACAACCGAGATTGTTTTTATACAACATTTGTCCGTGGCAGTTGAAACGCTTCATTTTCAATCTAAAAATAATTGCTTGTTTATATCGTTTATTTTCGGTTGTATCAAAGTCAATGAAAAAGGGAACAAGAAAACAAAAACGAAAAAGAGACCATAATAAACAAAGGAAAAAATATTCACAGAAATGCAGAAAATCTCTTTCTGTCTCTCCCTCTCCATGTGTGCGTCTGAGATTTTGAACATTTGTTATTTGTGCGCCTAATGCAATGGCAATTTTACAGATGATTCATCTTTCCGATCGAAGGAAAAATTTCCAACGTTTTTTTATTTCATTTGCTCTGCATATTTCACAAAATACTTGAATCGCACAAAAAAAAATACCGAGCGCATTTTCCACAAAAAACGGATACAGTAGGTAAGAGAGAGAGGGAGAGCAAGAGAAAAGTTGACATTTGTTCAATTGCGGTTGTAGGTCACGAAGCAGTCGTATTAGAATTATTCACACCACAATTTTCCTTTCTGGCATAACGAATACACATCAATTCAAAATCGTGCATTCGAAATTCCGAAAATTTCATTTTCGGTTTTTCCATTTCGGTTTGACACGCAAATAAAAATGACACTTTTGTTGTTGTTTTTTTTTTGCTATTCATATATACATAGTATTTGTATATTCATAAGAATTTCATTCATCGTCGAATGACGATGCATTATTGTCGTCTATTATAAAGAGAGAAAGCCGAATTGAAAAACAAATTGTCACATTCATCAAAAACAAAAAGCAAATTTATTAATATGATTCAGCGTGTACCGTTTATATCATATTGTGGTGTGCATCTTGATACGTGCATTGACCCGTTTAGCAGCAACTGTCATTATTAAATACGTTTTCATGGTACTCTGATGTCGTCGGTGTTGTAATTGATACTGTGTGTGACCCGAACATTGTGTGAAAAACAAACCACATACGAGTTCACACAAACATTTGTTTAATATACAAATTGCGTTTTTGTTCTATCTTATACAAACTCTCTCTCGCGCACGAATCCATCTTTTTGTTTCTAACCCGAAAAAAATCCCAAAAATTTATTTACAGAACATCATTTCAACATGAAAATGACAGCAATAAAATGTGGTGCGAAGTGTTAAATTACGGCTGAAACGTCATTTAAGTGGTCATAGAATAAATAAGACGTAAGTGAAGCGGCGAAGAAGAATTATTTATTAGAAGAAACAAAAATTGAGAACAAATCGAGAAGACAAAGAGTGGCGAGCAAGAAAATATCAACAACGTTTCGATAAAAAATTGACCCTCGGATCATAAAGTTCAAACCAAAACGAAATTTATAGTAAACTTCTAAACAAAACAGCCACTTTTTAATTCAAAGGCATTCATAAAAGCTAGTGGAAATCAAAAAAAGGGAAACGACGCAACCAAAACATACGCTACACGATTGAATCATCAACATCATTCATCAAAGACGTGTCTATTATTAAATTTGATTACGTAAAGAGTTAGCGACGACAACGACGACTCAACAAAGCTCATCGACAAAACATTAACGGCAATGGGAAGTGTTTGGAAACGATTGCAGCGTGTTAATAAACGAGCGGCAAAATTTAACTTTACAGCTTCTTATCATGATCTGAGAGTAGAGACCACCGCCAAATGGTAAGCATTTTAACATTTTTCTTTGCCGCTTTTTGTTTTTGCTCAAATCAGTGACACTTTCAATTCATTTAGAGCATAACCGACTCTTTTTATTATACAACGAATTCGAAAAGAAAAACAAATATCGTCTATGTTGCATTCGTTTTTTTCGTGATCATTTTCTTGTCGCTGCCCAACAGATTCAAGTGTAACTGTTTTTTTTTTAAGTCTGTAGTGTGCTATTTAAAGGTATGCCAGACGAAAAAACACAAGTATGCTTTGTTATTTTCTACTTAAGATTTGGTATATGAGACTTTTCTTGAATGGGAAAAGGTCAAGATTGAACAAGATTAGACACGAATCAATTTCGTTGCGGCCGCTTTTATTTCATTCGAAACGAGAAATGAAAAAAAAAACCGCACTTTCCAGATAATCTAATATATAATTGACTTCGAGGCTGCTGTTCAACAGTATTCGGCCTGCATTGAATACGCCGTCTTGTTTTAGCGCACATTAATTGCATTAGGTAATTTAATTGCTTGGATTATTATGGACAATTTTTGCCATGCACACAAATTGATTGAATGTGCTGTAAACAACAACAAAAAAAAGGAAAGATTATGAGAGTTTATGGCGTGCATTGTGTGTGAGAGAGATCGATCGGCACTTACAAAATCATTTTAAGCACTTGACAAATAGCTCTTGCGCTAATTGAAGACTGGAACATGTAATGTGATGCATTCTTTGCCATGCTAATCGATCAGCATCGCTTTGCAATTCACATAAACGCGTCACATAAAATTGTTCCCAATCATGTCATAGATGCATGTTTAAAATGTGATTTTGCAACTCTCGTTGATTCACATGCCAAATTCACACGAAGTGCGCACATCGAATCGACGATTTTGTATTACTTGGGCTACTAAACTTTACATTGAAATCGACCAGAAAGAAAAAAAGACGATATTTTGAAGCGAAAAAAATGAAATGGTTGCAATTTCAAATCCAAGTGGATTTTAAGTTTTTCAAGAAATTGAGATAGCTCATCATCATATCGTGCTTGTCTCTAGATAATATAATCTCTTTCCAAAGTTCACTTGTTCGCGTTGGTTCATGTGGCAATGGAGAATTTTGCTACGCGCCAAGATTCTGCCTCTTATCCAATAAGTCTGATTTCATTTCTTTTATATTTTTTTTCGGTGTTTTCCTCTCTAATCCATTTATTCGCTCTGTCGCACTCACGCGCGCGCTCACATCCGATATATAAAACATAATCAAGTGTTTCATGCATTTTATCCATATTTGTGCGATCCACTTACAAAAACTTAAGCGAATCCACACATAATAATCACATCACAAGACTCGTAATTCCTACGCAATTTTCAATCTCCAAGAGTGCGCAAATACAGCGCGCACATAAATATGCGAGAGAAAAAAAAAGATACGAAACAAGCGTCTTTTTGTGAGTGGACACAACATAATACGCTCACACTCACATTCAAAAACGATAAAATATTGTTTATGTTATGATGAGATCGGAAACAAGCGCTCTGGAAATGAAACAACAACAAATAAAACAAAAGATAAGACAATGCTCACAACAATGGCAAAATATTGAAATTAAGATCGCCCTCGGTGTGTGTGTTTGTTATTTTTTTTTTTCATTTTATTGGTCGTAGTCTTTGTTGTTGTAAAGGACGCCAGTGCATGTTGTCGATTTAATTGTCATTGGTCGTCAACATTGTGTGTTGCATGCAATGTGCAATAAAAGGCACGTATTCACAATTTTCGTATTTCTCCCTTTCGTGAGCAGAATTGAGCGATAGAGAGAGAGAGAGAGAGAGACGTCATTATGACGCGACATCGATATTCCACACATTGTAATTGTTCCGGTTGAGGTGGGCAATAAACTATTCCTTGAAAGCATTGTACACGCAAATTCTTCCGCCCAATCGCTCAGCTACCCAATGCTCTTTAGAATCCACACAAATAACCAATAAATCTACTAGGTTGATGCACGTTCATTACTTCATTTATGCCATTTCCATTGCATTTCAAATGGGTATCCGCTTTACCTTCTCGGTTTTTTTTTCAATCTCTCACACTTGTACTTGCGTCCACAAATACATACACATAATTAACTGAGCAGAAGCCGAGCCGTTCTGTATGAAAATTGGCGCGTGGCATTTCGTGCCATGTCCATGTTTTTTTTTTCGAAATCTATAGAACCATGCATGATTTAGCATGTTCTTAAGGGAGCAAAATTGAACAAAATATATGTAGGAAGAACAATGTTGGTCCTAAATAAAAAATCACATACATCGATTTTACTTCGATGAGAGTGTTCCGTGCGAGAACCGAGGTAAGGTTTACCATGGAGAATCATACGTATCCAATTGAATGACCACATTTCGATCGATTGCTCTTTTTATTCGCTTTGTGTGTCGATTTAAAAAGGAAAAAAAATACACTAACCAATTTTGTACGTGTGCGTTGTGTTGATCGAACACGTTGGAAGGAAAAGTACCATGTATTTATTAGCTCAATGCAAGCCATTTGAAATTGATGGTTTTAATATCGATTTCGAAAATAACTAAGGTTAACCGTTTTCTTTTTTTATATCGATGAACTCATCACCAATATGAACATCTGCTGATCTGTGAATCGTCTTCGTGTAATATACAATTGGAAAACTCGTCTGAATTTAAAACACCACAGCTAACGGCAAATGCATTTAACGTCGGTCGAAATAAAACCGGCAAGACAGAACGAAGGAGAGAGGTAGAGAGAAATGGGACGGGGGGAAGGTATGGAGGGAGCCGAGCTAAATAAAACAAGGAGTCGACGTAAAAGAAAACCAATTAAATTCCACAAGCAATTAAGTCGTTTACATTGCAATTACGTGTCGATTGGTGCGCGGTATCTTCTATTGCTATTTTCAGATTGTATCGGGCGGATAGTTTTGGTTTCGCTCTTTTTTTATTTTGGTTCGCGTGACTCATTCACATGACTATTAAAAACTGGGCATATATTGTTTGTCCTTCCGACAAGTATGTACTATCCATTCAAATGATTCCTTCGTAGTTTCGTCTGCATACATAGATGTGTATTCATTAAAATGATGTGTGAAATGAGCGCATAATGTTATTTTGGGTTCTGTCTTTGATTTTGGAAATTGAAAGTGATGCAATCATAGTAAAACATTGGTTACATATAATATATTCGAAACTTGAAGCTTGACCTTGACTTTTCAATGTAAAATTCGCATTTTATGGTATATAAACGGCCGGCATTTTTTTTCTTGCTTCGCTTTAAACAAATCGATTTAAACGTGATTTCTCGACACTGAATTCACTTATAATCCGAATAAGTGAGGTCAACTTGAAGCGACAATAAATTTTAATGGAACTGCAATCAAAATCAAAATTTACATGAATAACAGACAACAAAAACCGGAGAACTACGTTAAAATGGAATTAACGAGAAAATGTAACTTATCGCAGCGGTAGAAAACAATTTTAGTTTTCGCATCGTGTCTTATTGTCGTTTTGTTTTTCTCTCTGTTATTGTTCAAACTGCAACTACAAACGGGGTTTTATTTGTTTGTGGACTTTTGTACGAAGATATTAGATTGTGCGGAATTGTGATTACTGAGATTATTAGTTGTGTCAGCAAAAAGACCTACCCAAAAAATAATGTTCCTATCAAAATGTTTGATCTCCAGTGATATTGGACAAGGAAATAAAACAAACAGTTGAACATGCGATTCTCTATAATTGGTTCGTCTACATGGCGTCGACTTTAAATGCGAATATGCATATAAAAATATACGACCGAATTTCACTGGCGAAAAACATCGACTGACCTTTGAGTTTCCTACACGATCCGATTTTTGCGCACTTTCTCATTGAATACATTCGATTCATTCAAATCAAATAAATATTTAACCACTGACAAATGTTAGTGTGATTTAGTGAACCCCACTCTTAAAAGGAAAAGGAAAAAAATCCAGCAAAAATATTCATAAATAAATTTTTGCCTTAAACAAAGGTGCCCTTAATAAATTTCAAGTAAAAATTGTTGTCAGCAAAAAAAATATTTCCTTGTACACATGTACACACCGGAATGGTTTATATGGTGATTTCATTTTTAGTTTAGTTTAAATGCAAAATAAGCGACATAAATAGAATAAAGGCTAGGTCACTTCAAAGCAGTTTTTTTCACCGTGTATTTTCATTATTATTAATTTAAACTATTTTCTGTTTTCATTGACTGTTTTAAATAATAAATTGATATTGGGATTTAAACATACACTACTTCAATTCAAAAGAAATATAATATGCTCGTTTGCGGTGAAAAGCAAAAAAAAAAGAAGAACGTTTGAAAAAATGCGCATAAAGACAAAATATTCAATTGATTCGAAAAACTGCAAACTATGATGAATTGAAAGTTTTGCGCGACAATATTTTCTTTGAATTTGATACTTGCTATTTAATATGTTTTCATTTTATGCTCTGGTGCAATCTCTCTTTAGGCGACCAACGAATTTGGCGATTGTATGGACAAGACGATCGAGACGTGTTGCATCGACACCATTACCATGGGAACCCGATATGGTAAATCCACTTATGGGCCATATTTCATGGGCCGTGCCCGACAATCACACAATCAACGTTACATTGTTCAAAGATCCACGAACGCATGAGCTTGAAGATAAAGATTGGACTTTTGTTATCGAAGATGTAAGTACATATTTTGCATGCTCATGTTATTTGATAAATAATGTTAACAACATAACGAAAATCACTTTGATAACATTTAACGAATAGACATTGGACACAGGATAAATGTACATTTAGAGTTTATCACATAAAATTTCTGCTTGAACAAATTTACTTTGTACCACAATATGAGCAATTCAAGAGAAGAAAAAAAACTGCAAAACAATATGCATTTTGTCGCTTTTTGCAAACACTCTTACTTACATGTACACTTCAATAAGCATATTAGGCTCAAGTTGGAAAAACCCGTCTCTCTAATCGGTTTGCATACAAAACAAGGGAAGACACGAGAGCTTTACTTTGAACGAGTCTAAATCGATACGATACAATGCTATGATCGGATATGATTCGTCTTCTATCTTTGAGAATATATTTCATAAAAATGACTATACATCTAATGTATAGCACAGATTAAGATTTCGATTATGCGGCTTGTTCAAACTTAGGAATTCCTATGACTTCAATACGATACACTCACCGTCATCATATATCGATTGAAAATCAGGGACCGGTTCGCGCATATTTCTATGCAAGATAGTTATGCTAAGCATAGCGGAGACGCAAGCTGCAACGCATCCGTCGCCATTCGATTCGATCTATATCTTATGCGTACGTCTCTCAAAGCACGGCCGCCTGCATACACGAACATGTGTATGTTCATTGCTATGCTTGGCATATCTATGCTACCTAGCGTATCTAGGCAAGCATGGAAATATGCACGAACCGGTCCTTGTTGAAAATACAAACATGTATTCAATTTCATGGGATAACAATTTTCAAAGAAGGATAATCAAAGTTTTTCAATTAATTATCAAATATGCATGAATTGAACGACGTAAATGTATCGGAACTATACTGAACTTATATTGAATTTGTTATGAATACTTATTGGTTTGTTTGTTTTACGTCATTCCATCTCAGGTGTCACAAATGGGTAAAAAGCGTGTACTTGCATCGGCCAGCATCAATATGCGAAAATATGCCAGCGTTGATCCAACACAGCAATCGTTTACATTGAAACTAAAGCCGGTTTCACGGAAAATCAGTTCGGCCGAACTGGAACTTACTCTAAGCTGTGTTTTCTTACGTGAAGGAAAAGCGACGTAAGTATACCATTCGAGTTTTTTTTTTTTTTGTACTTTCAGCAATTATTAATTTCTAAATGCAATATTGTACTTTTGAACAGTGACGAGGATATGCAGAGCATAGTTTCGTTGATGTCAGTAAATAATAATTCGGACATTGCACCATTGGATGACCTTGAGGATATTCCGGATTTGGAGAGTTTTGGTGATATATCCGAACATGTTTTAGATTTTGCAGCACAATTGGATCAACTAACCGAAAGCCTAACTAATTCAGAGCTTGCAACACCAATGAGCGGTACGTTCACGATTATTTTTTATGTGTATTGTGTATTCTATTGAGAATATTTGAATATTTTCCATTTTTTCATAAATAATTTTCAACTTTTCAATTTTATTTTGTGTTCATTGGCCATTCGTAGCACCTTCATTAACGGAGGATCCAACGCCGTTGGCGGAGCAGCAAAATTATCCCGATTTTGAAGAAGATCAGCAGCCGCCTTGTCTAGCAACACCAACTCCAGTCGTTGAAAAAGCAATCATCGAAACACCGGAACTGAAGAATTCGTTAGTTGATAGGTCAAAATCGAAGGATACATTGCCGATCGTATCATCGATGGTAGTTGAAAAACCGCCGGCCAAAGAGATTGAATCGAAACCATCGGACGATATCACCGATGCCAATAAATCGAAAGAGATTAAAGATGTCGGTGGTAATAAATCAACCCCCATTGCACCACCGATATATGTGCAAAAAATAAAGAAACCCGATGTAGTTAAATCTATAACAATACAGTCTGTAACGCCTGCCTCAAATCGATCAAGTGTCTGTGAATGGACGGAAAATACGCTTGAAACTCAAAACAATGTTAAAAATATGGAAAAATCTCATTTGACTGACCCTGAAAAAGTAATATCAACGACGACAACAACAACAATCACCACCATTCCACCATTGATAGCTGCCACCAAAACCATAACAACAATGACAAATCAAAAACAATCCTCATCACCGCCACCAGTGGTGAAAACCTCCGAAGACCAAGAACGAAGCCGTATGGAATTGCAGCCATTGAATTTGAAAAAGAATTATGACATTTCAAAAGTAAATAGTAAAAATGCAATGAAAGATCGAACACCGGGTCAAGATTTGCTCGAATGGTGTAAGGATATTACAAAAAGCTATGGCGGAATCAAAGTTACCAATCTTACAACGAGCTGGAGAAATGGCATGGCTTTTTGTGCAATCATTCATCATTTTGAGCCGGATTTAATGTAAGACAATCAATCATTTTCGATCGCATTTCAATTTGATTTCCTCATTTGTTTTAATTTTCTTTTGCAGTGATATGAAATCGCTTTCGCCACATGATGTGGTTGGAAATTGTCGAATTGCATTCGATGCAGCCGAATGTTTAGGTATACCACGGCTCATTGAACCAAGTGATATGAGTTTGTTGGCTGTGCCCGATAAATTGGCCGTCATGACATATTTATATCAATTGCGTGCCCATTTTACCGGCCATCAATTGCAAATCGAACAAATCGGCAATACATCAGACGAATCCAGCTATATCATTGGAAATTATAAATCCGATAATTTACCATCGCAAAATATTTTATCATTTGACCATTTAAAGAAACAATTGACACAACAGCATTTACTTGATGACGATATCATTGATGAAAAATCACCGATTGACAAAAAAGATGTAAAAAATCTAATATTTACCGGTTCAAAGCATCTGCTTGGCAAAGTTTTATCACCGGTTAAAGATAAACAATTTCCAACAAATAATAATAAAATCAATGGAACGCAATCGAATACAAATAATGCACCCAATTCAAATGTAAATGCTGGAAAAGAGAATAACATTTTAATGACGCGACGAGAATTAAATGATCCATTTGGTTCGGATGAAGATGATGATGATGACGATCAACAATCTGGATCACAACAATCACAAAAGACTACAATAAATGACGCAAATAATGCTGAATGCCAAAGAAAAAATAGCAATGTAAATAAAGTTGAATCGCCCATTACCAATTTGGATCCGGCTACAGCAAATGTATGTACAACAACAATTCGGTCGAATACATTACAATTCAAGGGGCGAAGCAGTACTAGATTCAATTATATCAATTCCATTCAATTCCACTGAATTCTGTTCAATTCCAAATTAAATTCTAGTCCGTGTGTTTTAACTCATTTACTTCAGCAAATTTTAGGTATTACAAGGAGAGTTTCATATATAGTCGCCATGTAGCAGCAAAATGACACTTGCGTGTATCATTCGCCAAGTGTGATTTGGATGATAAAGAATGTGAATTTTTGATTCTGATTGAACCAGGCGATACAAAAAATTGACCAGAATTTGAGAATTGAAGAAAAAAAATTATTTTTTTTTTTTTTTGTCATTTTTTACGATTTTTCACCATCGTATGAAAAACACGGAAGACCGCTGAAATGGCACGTCTTACGTACGTACATATTTTGTATTTGCCATTTCAGCGGTCTTCCGTGTTTTTCATATATGTCTCCCATCAGATGGTGAAAAATCATGAAAAACGAAAAAAATAATAATTTTTTTTTTCAATTCTCAAATGCTGGTCAATTTTTTGTATCGCCTGGATCAATCAAATGAAAAAAATCACATTCTTTATCATCCAAATCACGCTTGGCGAATAATACACGCAAGTGTCATTTTGCTGCTATATGGCGACTTTATATGTATACTTGTAATACCTAAAATGTGCTGAAGTAAATGAGTTAAAATACACACGGACTAGAATTTAATTTGGAATTGAAGAGAATTGAGTGGAATTGAAAGAATTGAATCTAGTACTGCTTCGCCCCTTGTTACAATTGAATTGAATTGATTGAATTTTCATTATTATTTATAGAAACTACTTTCACGGCACAAAGAAATGAGCGAAAAAGCCAAAACAATGATGGAACGTCTGAAAAATAACACAAGTTCAATGGAAAATGGAAAATTTGATGGCGAGGTATGTTTTTCTCTCCATTCACAGTTCTAAATGTGGATCTTGTATTTGACGTGTAATTTTTTCATTCGTAGGACGAACGTCAAGCTAGACTTTTGAATAAAGCACGTCTCCTGATTGCCGAAACCCGTGCTCGTTCGATAAATCCCGATTCGCCAACGTCACCGACCAAATCGATAACGCATCGCATTACATTGTCGCCAGAGCGCACAATATCGCCAATCAATAATACGGATGGTTTCAATTTTACATCAAACAAATCGAGTAACAGCAAAGAGAATTCGCCAATCAAACAACGAAACAATCACAGTCCATCACCTCGTATCACACCACCGCGTGATGTTGAAAATAATCATAGCCAAAGTCCAAATCAAAATATTGTGTTCAATGAAAAGAACGGCAATTCACCGACACTGCAAAGTTTCAATTCGGTATTGGAAAGTCTGTCACCACAACATGAAAAGAAGGTAGGCGTTTTTTTTCTCACTGTCAAAAACAGCGATTTTCTTATAATCCATTCATTTTCTTCAGATATCGTACATTGAGAGTGAATTAGAAGCTTTGGAACGTGAACAAGAAGCAATCGATTTGAAGGCTCGAGCATGTGAAAAGAAACTACGACTTGTGATGAATGGACAAACAACAAGTAATTACACGACTTTTTCTCTATAAAACCATTCTGACAAACATCCCGATCGATCGAACAGGACATATTTCTTTTTCGTTAATCTATTTGTATTTCACTTTATTTTTTTTTCCTCATAGACGAAGACGAAACGGAAGAACAATTGCTATCTCAATGGTTCACTCTAGTCAATAAGAAAAATGCTCTATTGAGACGTCAAATGCAATTGAATATTTTGTAAGTGATTGCAATTTTTTCGCTATTTTTGAATTCAAATAATTCAATTTCACGGGTTTTTTTCGCTTTTTTTTACAGAGAGCAAGAAAATGATTTAGAAACAAAATACGCTCTATTAAATCGTGAATTACGGGCGGCACTGTCGGTTGAAGATTGGCGGAAATCGCAAGCGCAACGTGACCGTGAGGCACTCTTACTCGCTGAACTTGTGACAATCGTTGATAAACGCAACGAACTTGTCCAACATCTGCATAGCCAAGAGCAGGCGTAAGTAAAACTTGATCCTGCTAACTCCTTTTTATTTCGATTCTTTCATTCAGTTTCGAAAGACATTGATTTTTCTTTCCTCTTCCAAAACAGCATTGAAGATGATGATAAAATCGAACGCGAATTGGAGAATGTTGACATTACAGCGAAAGACAAATGTGTGATTCAGTAAAACAACATTTGCATCCACGTGTTGTTTGACAAGAGTTAATGATATCAAGCTGTGAATTAAATTATTATAGTAGCAAAATGGGAAATGTTCTCTAGAACAGGGCGGATAGACCGAAGCAGGCGATTAATATAGTTTAAAAATTGATATATTACGGCTTTAGAACAAAAGATCTATGTGAAATACGTCCGTAAAAATTAAGAATATTGTGCGGTCGCATTCACATGTCGACAGCAATCAAATTGATTTTTTTTTGGTCAAAAAATGTACAATTTAGGAGAGAAAACATCGAAAGAAAAATTCGGAAAAATGGATTTAATTCAAACATTTGCAATTGTTCAGCAACTGATCGACCAAAAATTGTTTTCATCGGTTTGTGTTGAATAGAAACGTAAGGAATGATAGATTTTATCAGCATGAAATTTCTAATAAACGAATCAATAGACACACATCAACATTAAACAACTCAATTATTTCCCGATCTGACATTCCATCTACTCAAACGATAAAAAAATAATGAAATTATATAGATATAATTTAAGATGGACTCTACTAAATCTAATTTATTTTGGAAATGAGATTAAAACAAAGATTTGTTTCATATGAACATTTCTCCGCTGTCCATTTAAGTGAAAGAAATTGATTTTTTTTTTTTGAAAGGAGAACTCATTTCAACCGTCCCCCTTCAATAAGATTTACAGAAAACAAATAAAGCATAATATTACAAATAAATTCGAAATCAAATTTCGCTACACAATTTAATAAATTGAATTTATACAACCTAAAAAAAGGAACTGAGAATGAAGCAAAACTTGTATGTGCTTTTGTGAGAAAAAAAATATTATCCAATTAGAGAATAAGATTGAGTTAGAATTTTTGAAATTCACACTTATACACATAAGCATCATGAAAAGCGTCGTATATTTATATAAAAACAAAAAAAAATGCTATTTAATTGACTGAGTTTTTCTCTATGAAAATCAATATTACACATTTCTTTTAATTTACCAAACACACATATATTCACAAAGGGAACCGAAGGAATATTTCCTTTGATATTGTACTTATAAAAAATGGCAAATATAATACCGAATGAAACTGGTGATGCACTTGGCATACTTCACATTTAAATTAGCATCCCAAATAAAATTGATTGCTTTTCAATATAGCGACGATAACAAAACCGATGATTTTACCAAAAAAAAAATGATTTTGCGCTTGATGAGAGCGCGATATAGTTTAATTATTTGTATCTATTTATAAAACTAATATTCAGAAGCTTTATATATATGAATTTTTCGCTTTAGCCAATGTTCTTAAAACGCAATCATCCGTTTGTTTCGTTTATGTTTACATGTCTTTTTCTTTTGCCTAAGGCACCATTTTATGGTGGCGAAAAAAAGCCAACATTTCATATGTACGACTTACATTGCTTCTTGTGTAAAACTCATTTAGTTGTGCATGTTTGTGTTTGAAGTGTGGAAGAACGAGTTCGGAATTTTATTCCTCGGCCAATTCTAATCTTTTTTTTTTTCTTTGTCGCAAGAAATAATTTAATTGTTAATTTTTTACACACACAAAAAGAATGACAATAGGGCAATTCATTCACAAAAAAAAAAATGTATCAAATTCAGTTCACAATTTTTTTTGCTCAACGATTTTTTTGATTTACGGTCTTATATATTTTTTTTTTTTTTGAAAATCAAAATGTACTTTTATTCAAACGCGCAATATTTAACCAAAAATATTAATGTTAAAACGGAAAAATCAAATCAGATTAAAAAAAAGTTATGTAAAAGCCTAATTTCTTTGAAATGAAACGGATGGAGTTTTATGCCGTTAATACTTTAATTTTGAAACATTTGAAATAAATATTTGACATTCATCGATCTCCATATTCAAAACTTAATGTATGTTTATTCGAAAGAAAAACTATAGACTCTATTGAGTGGTGGTAATTTTAGTTACGTTTTCTTGTTTCTTTTTTCACTTTGACAATGGAAACAACCATTTCGGGAAGTAAAAATTTATATATACATGGGATTTTTAAATAAAGTACCGACAATTTCACATGAGAAAATAATCTACAACAAAAGAAACAGAACTTTAGTGATACAATCTATCAATAAAGAGGTTATTCAAAAAAAAGTTATTATCATCAAGACAAATGTGCTTAGTTTTTTTCATTTTATTTTTACTATCAAACCAGGTACCCGAATTTTCAACATTACGTCGATCGTAGGAAAACGGCTGACGGAAAAACATATATTCAATTCAACATATATGTGCATATGCATTATTTGGCATTCACGCATTTTTGTCGTAACAATTCAAATTTGGTGTTAGCTTCTTTTTAGAATGCGAATAAAGAAAAAACATTTCCAAGAATGTCTACTTCGATTTAAAAAAGGAGGTTTTATTTGATCACCGACATTTAAAAAAAATATATTCATGTATAACTTTTTGAATATTAAATAAAAAAAGATAGCATGTTCCATAACTGATCGAAGTCAATAAATTTTTGCGCAAAAAGTTAACACTTAACGCTCAACCAAAAGGTAATCGTTTAAGTGTGTGCGTTTAGTGGCACCTCGTTGTAAGTATGTGTTTATGCATTGGTATTTATTCTAGCCGCATATTCTCACTACCGCACTGTATCGCAACGTTTCGCTTGTAATATTGAAAACCGTCGCAATCTCAACCAAACTGACGTTTATGCTTCTCGTATCTGTCTCTTTCGCTCACCTTCATTTTGTCGCTGGAATGGTTTTCACCGCATCAAGAACGAAACGAGAAAGAAAATACCAACAAAAAAGCATTTTTATATCGCATATAGATACATATTCGTCGCGCGTCATTTTTGATCATCATCTCTCCAGTACGTACACACTCGTTAGTAAAGAGCACTAACAAAAATAATCGACTCAACCAACAAAAACAACGTATACAAAACATTTACTCACTCATACACATCAAATATCTACATTATTGCTTGTTTCCAGTTGATAGATTAAACATTCGAATAATTACGGATTAATTTTAACACGAAAATCGCGCAAAAACGCATCAAGTGCAAGTACGATAAATTGTAAGAATTCAATAGCCGAATGAACAAACCGAAAACAGCAAAAAATATCATAATAATAAGAAGAAATAAAAAAAAAAGTTGTGGAAAATCAGAGTGGAAAAAAGGTGAGAGAATACAACTCGACAGCGACAACGACGACGAAAAGAAGAAGTAGCAACAACAATATCAAACAGTAAAGCAACACAACAGAGATAGAAACATTCTCTGAATGGTGTGTGATTACATTTGAAACTATTAATTTGCGGCGACAAAGTGTCAGTTTCGGTCGGTGTTTGATTCTTTTGATGATTGATTTTTGATTTCTCTACGCTCTCGCCTTACATTTTTTCAATTTCGTTTGTTTCTTTTTTGTTGGCTTTCAAAATTTTGCCAAACAAATGATTGGTATTAGTTTTGTGTGATCTTGTTGCTGATACATTCGAAATTCTGACTCATTATTTTGTTGTTGTTGTGAAATTCAATTCAAATTCCGTGTTTTGTGTTCATTTTATTTAATTTTGTTGCGTGTAGAGAGTACCGTGTGTTTTGATTTCTGTGAGATTTGAAGTTTGGTTCGCTTTTTTTTAAATCTCCCATTAAATTTCCAATCAAAAAATAGTACACGATTTGTGTGTTTGCATTTTGATTTTTGTGTTGTACCATTTTGTGATTGTGTTATTTGTTTCTTGATTCCGGGCAACGTTCGTTGTTGTTCAACAATTTTGTTTTTTTTTCTATTTAAATAATTATCATACCGAATCGAACCGATAATTGCGCGAATTTCCAAAACCGATATTATAGAGAAAGATAGAGAAAACCGACGACAAATATATATAATATATACATACTCGCGATCGCATTGATTAGTGTGTACAAGACAAATAGTGAAACCAATTTCAGTGCGATAGAATTCGATCGAATGAAAACAAAAACCGAAATATTATTATCCGATCAATTGCATACATCGCGCGCATTTGTTTGCATTTTGCATTGAGGCTTTGCATTGTATATGACAACAACAACAACAACAAACACTACAAATCGTGTGCCTACGTCGTGCCTAAGCTATACAATTTTTTGTGAGCTAGAAAAAATAGAGATTTACAGTGAAAAAAAATTCAATCTACAGCCGCTAGAGCCAAAGGTATGTGCATGGGATTTTTTTTTGTTTGTCTCCACACATATTTTATATGTAATTTTGTATGCGTGTGAATATAAGTGATTGTATGTATGTGTGTGTGTGTGTCTATTAAGTATGTGAGTGATTTGTGTCCATTTGAGAACCGTTCCGTCTCAATAGAATTCCAAGGCATAAACAAAATATGTGCGGCAGGTTAGTGTTGTGCATGTCAGAAAATTTAGCGAGAGATAGAAAAAATGGAAACAAAAATGAATGATCTCGTGCAATTAGTAAATTTGTTGGGTATTATCATTTCTCGCTTGATCATCGCATATACATATATCGGTTGTATTCAGTGAGCGATGATTTCTCATTATGGCAAATGCAAGAAAACTTTTATACCGAATCTAATGTACAATGTAAGTCCACCCGCTCTCCCACTCTCTATTCATGAACATGTTTTGATGTGTCATTTTTTGATCGATGTACATCATGTGTAAGTGAGTGCAAGTTATACACTCGGTCAAGGAATTTAGTTGCATTTGTGAGGTATTCTTCTCACATCTTCAATGAATAATTGTTGCTGTTGCTGGTTGATATATTTTTTTCTTTTGCATCATTTATACATTGTAACATGTTCATATCAAAATATGGATTATCATATCTAATGTGTGCTCTGTCCATCAGCATATGCAATTGTAGTGAACGATTACTGTGTCGTTGTGGTTGTCGTTGCCATCGCTGATGTTACGCCCGAACATTGAACACCATAATAAATTCCTGCGATATGATAATGAAACGACGTTTTGAACTAGATTTCAATATGAGTGCATTTTTCGGAAGCCATGCGTAAACAAACGTTCGACTCTGTTATTAACCGAACCACAATAGCCAATAATTCTTTTTGCTTCTCTTTCAGTTCGTTTTTTTCTTCTCCACATTCAATTCAACGTGTTTCACATAAAACAATGAACACCATCACTATTTCACTTGATTTATTTCTCTTTATTTTAACCATTAGTCATAAAAGTTGGTTTAATTTTCCTCATATGTTGCTTTCCACATTTTGTTTTGTGCGGCTATGCGTGTGTGTGTAATTTTATTCTCAAAACGTTGCTCGTCGATCATTTCATTTTTTCTCATAGACACAACGACGCAACGCATTACCAACCATACACACACCTGTTGGATTGTCAAATTTCGATGAAAACCGCCAATTCCTGCGTGCGTTGTGAATGTGTTTGTGTCATTTTTCCCATTTTTCGAAT